CTCTCCCCAGTATAACAGGAGGTGAAACTAATAGTTGCTGCAATCATAAAATTCTGCAGTTGAGTTCCAAATAAAATAAGTATTACAGATGGAATAAATACTTTTCTAACTTTGGAAGACCAGAGAGTGCATCCTTTCTATGTATATATTGTATATAAGCTCAGCGTGGGATAGCACCAGGGCATTGAGTTAACTACGGTGTCACCAGCAAGGGTGAGTGCCATTATACTTGTAATATATATATATATATATATATTGAAGAAAATAATAATAAAATTAAATTTAAAAAATTTAAATACCAGTTTAAATTTGTTCTAACTGTATTCTAATATCAATATTCATATAAATTTAAATTAATAAAATTTAGAATGACATTATAAATACATATATGTACCTATATATATTGAGCATTTCCAAACTCTAATCATATATAGATAAGTATTGGCATCTCCAATTCAGATGGTGCCAGAGACTGGTCATCTCCTGGCCCTAATCATACATGACTGTTTCTGTCTATACATGCTGGTGTTTCACAAACCCCAGCACACATTTTTGTTCTTACTTATTTTCCCATTTACCAGCCGCACACAATTATAAGGTGTCACTATCTGCAGCCATAAGTACACACAAAATACCAATTACTCTGCTGTGAAAGGCCTGTACAAAATATAAAATAACTATGCTAGCTGACCTGGGCGTAATACATGTTGGTAGTTATGTAGGTTGCAAAGCAACCAGCAACTCAAGCTGCAAATTGCAAAACTCAGGCTAAAATAGCTAAGCTGTGACCGCAGCTGAGTTACAGATTTTTTCAAACCAGCTATTTTGCCCAAATCTTGCAATTCAGGTTTCAGTTGATGCAATTTGGAATCTATAGTGAATAACTGCCTTAAATTAACAGTCAAAATACTGTATAGGTTGTGAGTGAAATACAGAAAAAGAAAAATAGGAGAAAAACATTTGGGGTTATATTTCTCCATTGCAGTGTCTAATTTTTTGAAAATATACATTTTGTGATGGACTGCTCCTAGTTAACTGGAGTGACGCCACTAGGGATTCTCTTTCCTTACTGAATATAAACCAGAGTGATTATAGCCCTTGGCCCAATCATCAACCGATGCGTGATGCAGGGTACAACACAAACACTTTATTCAGTGACAGTGGCCTGTTTATACAAAAGCCCCCAACAGGGGAGTCATCAAGAAAACTATGCATTGTACAATATACTTCATTATTATTATATTATTAACAGCCAGATAACAGGACGCCTAACAATAGTGTCCCTTAAAACTGTACTTTCCCCTTCAAGCAACCCCAAACCGTTGTCATGCCCAGAAAGCTCTCCCCCAAGAGAGTATTCAGTACAAAAGGTGCCCAGATCGGAGAGTTCTAGCCCAAGTAATCTGAAGGGAAAAGTTGACCAAGCCGCAAGCATTCTCCGATGGTAGGTCCCAGTCACAAACGATGCAGGTGGGTTCAGTACAAAGAGCTCCCTCAAGTCCTGGGTGTTGTTAGAACCCTGGCCACCTTCCTAATCAACTCTCTAAATAGCACCCTGTTTGGTGGCACTTGGGTTGAGAGCTACATTGATGAAGTTTGACCGGGCACCGGATATCCCGCAATCCGATCTACAGTTCCAGGAGATTCTTGAGTAGCCCCCAATTGGACACGCTGTGCCTGTAAGAGTCTCATGATCAAACAACAATTAAGCAGATGTGCAACTGAGAGAACTTTTGTTCATTAAACTACATTGTGAAAACGCAGTTGTAAAAATTCGGAAATTAGGAAAAGCAAGCCTATGATTCAGGAATCCTTTCGGTGGACACAGCAACAAATATATTTTGTGACTCATGGCTATTTGATTACTTATTTTATATAGAACTTGTGCGGTATTTGCAGCTGGCTGACAAATATAAGAATGCTTAATCTCAGGACAATGAACTACTTTAATATTGTCACTTTATAATAGACATGCATTAGCAAAAACTGCCCAGGTAATTATTGGAGTATTCATAAATATAATGAAGTTACTGAATCAAATACAAACACCAGTTAAAACTCATCATCTGAATGACAAACAAACAAATTACACAAATATGCACCGCAATAATAGATAAACTCAGCTCTGGTTTTATATTCAGTATTAAATTACTACAAGGCAAATTAAAATGTTTAATTATTCTTCATAATGCCTTCTATTCAGTGCAGGGTATGGGTAACTTGCTGCATGCTTTAATATATAAAATACAAGGAAAGGGCTGCGCTTAAATAAAACTTTAAAAGATATTGAAAGTCCAGATAAAATCAATGGATTGCTTAATATATGTGTATTAATATATGTGTATTAAAAGATAAGTGGTACAATAAAAGATTACCAAATATACTTTAATTATAACATTACACAATATAAAATTTTTATTTTTTATATTGTGTAATGTTATAATTAAAGTATATTTGGTAATCTTTTATTGTACCACTTATCTTTTAATACACATATATTTATCACTATTACCTGGCATTATTCGCTGGACTCCAAGCAATCCTAGGTGGGGATTATTCCACCAACGCGATATATCAGGAGCAGTTGACCTGCTCCTGTATTGTGAGTATCCACTTTTATTTTATATTTTATTTTAAGTTTTACGCAGAGAACACTATTGGTTGTCTCTTTTTATTTGAGTATCTCCCACACTACGGAAGGAGGAAGCACGTGAAGGATAATCATTGCATATCCCACAAGCGGGGATCTAAACCGCTGTACGCCCCTTATACCAGAGCAGGTTCTAGCTCTTGGAAATGTGAGTTTGCAATCAAGTTTTATATTTTAATTTCCTTTTCGGCAAGATATACTACACCATTGTGGTTCTGTATTTGTTTTTATCTCTTGCATACGAGATGGCTTACAAGGAAGATAGAAAAGCAAGATTATTATTTCGGACTAAGCACTACGGACATTGCCAGATAAGACCTTCTTCTTTTATTTTTATTTTTATTTTTTTTATTTTTTTATCCATTGATTTTATCTGGACTTTCAATATCTTTTAAAGTTTTATTTAAGCGCAGCCCTTTCCTTGTATTTTTTGTGTTTTATTCTAAGGGTTTTTGAGGGATTCCCTTTTAGGGTTGCTGCTAAGTTGTGTTATTTAGCGCTCACTCATTGTTCTGGTTTTATTATGCTTTAATATATGTATGTAAGATTACTAATACACATAATGTATTTTACTACAACAACTAGTAAAATTAAGGGAATAATTTGCAAAACTATCAGTTCAGGTTTTTTTTGTTTGCTTTTATTAGAGCATTTTATATAAAATACTGAAGCAACTGACATTATAACTTGCAGAACATTGATGGCGGTTATTAAGTGAGCATTAGATTGTACGCTCACAGGCTATCTAGCTGAGTACTCTGTATAAAGGAGCTTTAAGTTCTAGACTTCAGCACACATTTATGTTCCTCTATTATTCTTTGTGTTATTTATTTAAAGGATCACTATAGGGTCAGGAACACAAACATGTATTCCTGACCCTATAGTGTTAAAACCACCTTCTAGCCCCCCTGGACCTCTCATGCCTCCATAAATATAGCAAAATCTTACTGTATTCAAGCCTGAAGATGTAACTCTGCATGCTGTTTGCCTCAGAAAAACAAGCAGTCTGCTGACATCATCAGAGATGGTAGCGTGACCCAATCACAATGCTTCCCCATAGGATTGGCTGAGACTGACAAAGAGGCAGATCAGGGGCAGAGCCAACACAATTCAAACACAGCCCTGGCCAATCAGCATTTCCTCATAGAGATGAATTGAATCAATGAAGCTCTATGAGAAAAGTTCAGTGTCTGCATGCAGAGGGAGGAGACACTGAATGTTTGGATGCATTTTAGGCAGCAATGACCCAGGAAGGATCTCTAACAGCTATCTGAGGAGTGACCAGTGAAGTTATCACTAGGCTGTAATGTAAACACTGCATTTTCTCTGAAAAGACAGTGTTTAGAGCAAAAAGCCTGAAGGTAATGATTCTACTCACCAGAACAAATCCAATAAGCTGTAGTTGTTCTGGTGACTATAGTGTCCCTTTAATACTGTACTGTCTGTTTTCCACAATTGTACAGCACTGTGGAATATGGTGTTGCTTTAGAAAATGCCAGTAATAATAAATAGAAATTATAAGTACACAAAAGATAAGGTGCATCCTATCCAGAGTAATAATGATTGCGAGGTGTATCTTCAATATTATAATATTCATGGACATTACATTTAGAGGAAAAAATACAAAAAAGGGTTAGTGATAGAGAAAGTAATTAAAGTTAACTGTCGCTGGGGTAGGCAACTTTCAGCACTCCAGGTGTTGTTGACTACATCTCCTATAATGCAAACAAAGCATCAAGGGAAATGTAGTCCACAAAATCCGGAATGCCTAAAGTTGACAACCCCAGGTAGTGTAAAAGTATATTTAATCAACTTTCTCCCTAAATTTAACACAAAATGTATGTCCAATTAGCCACATCAGGGAAAAATAGTGCTTGCCATTTTTTTATAACTCATCTATTAAAAAACGTACAAAAAACCTGTTTTTATTCCTAAACCTCTACAAAAAAGCAGATAATTTTATTGCAGATCTTCCTTCCCAGTCTGATTCTTATTATAGAACAGGAAACAGTTAATGAGTGTTTGCTTGTGTTCTAAGAACTCCCGCCTGTAGAATTATTATCATTGTCAGAACAGGGAAAATAGAAGTGCTAATTGCTTTTGTCAGCCATGGCACTGTTTTGCTAATATATACCTGGGTTTTGAGATCTGTGAGAGGAAACATACGTCTTTCATGGCCTCTCTGCCATGCCACCAATGCCCGGGGGATGCTTGATGGATTGTTTAACAAAGCCTCACCCTGTAGCTTTCATAAAGAGATCAATGACTTTCTGATTCTCATACCCCCACGCTGCCTAATGTCGTCACCACGGGGAGGGGCTGGAGAAGAAAAATAACATAACAGAGCAGCATGGAACACATAAATAGACACTTTACAGAACGCTAGTGATTATTATTGCCAAGCAGTTGACTAGATCTGCAACTTGTAGCACAGGATCTTCGTTCAGCACAATGGAGAGCTCCAGGCTCAGGGTCCTGGCACTAGGCTGCTGCCTGCTACTAATTGCTGCTGTCTGTGGCCAGGAGGACAGTTCTGAGCTGGAGACCAGGGCATTAAGGGACTTTTACCCCAAGGACTCTCTCCCTTCCAGTGAGAAGGAATTGGTGAGTGCAGACATCTATTGAACAGCCTAGTGGGTTATTTCTTGTTAAAGGCAGGTTGGCGTTTTCTAACAGAGGGGGGTGTTAGATTGTTAGCTGTGTGGTCCAGAGAAACTGAATTGTAATGTAAAATGTGATGTTTGCCAGTGACAAGCAAGTGATATCTGTTTTGTAGCTGGGAGCTCTTCAGGAAGTTTTGGAGAAATTGCAGAGTAAACGTGTCCCATCCTGGGAGAAGAAATTTGGACAGGTCCCAGTGGTAAGTTTCATTTTTATTTTTATTTTTTTAAATTTGAATTAAGGGTTTTGAGATAGACTGTCTGTGACTGGGACTGATTTCATGAATATCCCTCTCTGTATTCCTTCTATTGTACAGTATAGGCAAGATTGCTAAACAGTGTAACTGGCAAATGATTAAAGAAAACTGTTAGTTTCCGAAATCAAATTGGCAAGAGAAGTCTTCTTTTTCATAGAATTCTTTGATTGTTCTAAATAGAAATCCCTCTTTCTCATGTAGATGTTGATGTCTGCAACAGTTACAGTGTAAATACACAAATTCGCTTACTGAAACCAACTGTCGCACTAAAGGGGTTTCTGTTGGAAAATGTACTAATCTGACTCTCTTTATAATACATGGCAATCATTTAAGGGGGAATGAAATAGCAGGTGTCAGTCTGTAGAAATCCTTTCACCACTATAAGGAAATATATTCCTGTATTATTGATTGAATCTCACCCCTACCTTGCCTGTGCAATGCTCTGAATGGCAGGTGTGTGGTTAATTCACATAATAATGATTTTTGATCAACTAACATCTAAAACTGAAAAATGTATTGTATGTGAAGAATTCATTAACTTTGATTTATCATACATTTGTCATTTAACCACAATAATCTTCTTAGTGAATACACCCTTTTATATTAATATGTATTACATTATGCTTTCTTTCTTTAACCCCTTAAGGACCAAACTTCTGGAATAAAAGGGAATCATGACATGTCACACGTCATGTGTCCTTAAGGGGTTAAGCTGTCCAATATTTATTTTTTGAATTCATACATACATATTATAAATAGAAATCTAATTTGGTATACACTAAGTGGAGTTTAGTCATAACTTACTAGAGTAAGAAATTGAATAGAGAAGGACCCTTAAAGAGATTGAAGTCTACAGTTAAATGTTGGGAAATATAAGACATGCAATAAGAAGTCTATTTTACATAAATATGTGGATTTTCTGGGGAAGGGGTGTTACTACAAATTTATGAAATGGAATAGGCATAAGATTTTTTTTAGTAGAATGTTAAGTCGTTTAACAGAAGTATGTACTCTGTAAGAAGAATATTTTATCAAAACGGGGAAATTCTCCATCTCCGCTAAAGGGACAGCTTGTCTATTTTTGTCTTAGTTTTGCCACGCAGATTTTAGCTCACTACAAATCAGAATCTAGCAAATACAAATGGGAAAATGAAGTGAAAACAGAGTTTCTCCTGTAGGCAATTCCACACACCGTGCAACGTGCTGAATATTAATAAAGGCATATATATTAATGGTTTTAACTAATTCTGTAACATATATTATTCTGTTTTTGTTTTTTTAATATAAATTTTATCATATGTAATTATGCATGTAATCCCCTTTTATTTTTATTTTCTTTCCTTTTACCTGTTTTTTTTAATTTAATTTTTATTGTTTTTATTTACTATTATATTATGTTTTATTATGTTATACATTGTTAATAATGCATTTTTCTAAAATTGTTAGATAAAAATAATTTTAAAAGAATCGAGTTAATAACCTTTCCAATCCCCTGTCATAGTAAAGAAGTAATCTCTTTAATCTAAATGGGTTTATACCTGTACAGGTGTTCTAACACACATACTTTGATAAATGTGCTGACGTATCATGCTATCAGTCTATACATTGTATTAAACTTGTTTATGCTGTATGTTCCAGTGTGATGTTGGGGAGCAATGTGCGGTGAGGAAGGCATCACGGATTGGAAAATTATGTAATTGCCCTGGGGGCTCCGTGTGCAACTTCTTCCTCTTAAAGTGTTTGTAAATGAAAAGATGTCCGTCAGCATTATCTGCAGAACCAACAATGACAACCATCGAGATAAGAAGCAGACGGGATCCGTGTGATGATAAAAGGCTTTTTACACTCATACAATGATTTGCAACATACAGGGTTTGTTTTAGGGGGTGAGAAGAAGTACCAGGCCCCCATGTCCATAATTATCCTAATTACCAGTGTAACGTCAATTTAATTACTGTGGTGGATGACAGTTATTGTTATTGATATTGCAGTAAAAAAAAACATTAAGTTCTAAAAGTGTCAGGACAATTAGTTTCCTCTCAGCATTGGGTTATATATTTTTTTTAACTGATATTTTTTTCAATGTGGGTGTAGCCTAATTAGACGTCCACAGGGGGACTCCACATTTCAAACTCCAACCACGGCAGAATCTGCTTTGTTTATTGTAATCTGTTGCGTCTTGTTACAGGATTTGTAATCTTGTGCAGATAATGCAAATAAAAAAACACTGTCTTTTGTAAAGTAGTATTTTTCTTTTTTCTTGAAGCCGTTGGAAAAAAAAATAGATTGGAATGGATTTGGTTGCATATACTATTCCAATTATAAAGGTGTAACAGTTTATTACATAAAATATTACTTCACTGGTTGAATGACAGCCTACAAAATATGGAGAATATATTAAAGGAATCTATACATGGAATGGTCTCATCAGTACAATGCAAATAGACCTTGGTGAGTCATATACTGGCAATGCAGCAGGTAGCTTCTTTATAGATCAAATAAGTATAGAGTACCTGCTACAATGCATGAACTTTCTGTTAATGAGAGTGTGTTTGGACATAGCGAGGTTTAAACTTTTAAGTTGAAACACTTTATGCTGTGAAAACAAAATCTAACCTCTTTTGCTTGTGTTTAATTCTTTTTCATTCTGGTATCATTGTGGAACATGATGTTTATAATAGTTAAACATCTAAAACCCGAGAAGAGGCCTTTTATGAAATCACTTCTGTACAACTGCATGTTAATGAGATTTATCTGCACCTATGTTAAAGAGGTTAGCAAGAATACATGAAATGTTTGAAATGATGCACTATAACAAGGCTCATTGATGGTAACAATTTACGGTAATGATAATTAACCCATGACAAATTTGCAACAGCAACATAAATTAATTTTTAAAATATCTATTATTTCTCATAATTTAATTGGTATAAATAATGATACTAGTCACAGATAAGAAATATCCCTTTATTAGACATAGATGTTTTTAGACATATTTTAAGTAATATTTTCATAAGGTTAAGAGTCCTCGGTTCCCTATGGGGAGTGTGGCTTTATTGATGAACATTTACTCTTTCCATCTACTGGAAGGACTGTCCACATGACTATGCAAGATATTCCAAGTACAACTGAACAGTCATGGTGTCTTTGTGAAGTGTGGTCTCCTAGGTGATTGTCCAGTTCTAAAAGTAAATGTTCCATGCGAGAGGCAGATACAAAATTGTCTTGAAACCTTAGTTTAAATTTGAGCCTGTGTTCCTAATTCAACCCTGATATCCATGCCTAAACTCCTCTAACTATAATTATAAATCATTCATAACCCTAATCATTAACATCTGCCCTTAACCCCTAACCCCAGTGCCTTACAGTAACCCTCAAACAACCAATAACTCTTGACTCCGGTCAAGCATCACTAGTGCTCTACTAAGCATGAACCATGTCTTTCCAGGGTTATATGGGATAAGAACAATGTAATTCATAACAATGAGGTAGGCAAAGACTAGAAGATAAATATCAGGCATTTATTAGTCCCAGGAGAAGCTGTAGAATATTGCATAGTCATGTGGAGAGTCATTCCAGTAGATGGACAAGGTATATATGTTCATCAATAAAGCCTCTACACAGGGAACCAATGACTCAACCTTATAGTAGCATTTTCTTTCCTTAAAGAGACACTGTCGTCAAAAATACAACTTGAAGCAGTTTTAGGTATAGATCATGCCTCTGAAGTTGTATTGTGTTCAATTCTCTGCCATTTAGGAGTTAAATCACCTCTGTTTCTGTTTATGCAGCCCTAGCCACACCTCACCTGGTGTGAAAATGGTTTAATTTTCAATTAGATGTAACTTACTTGAAAGGTTCTTATCTCCTATTCTGTAAATTGAACTTTAATTACACACAGAATACCCCTGCAGGGTCTAGCAAGCTATTGACAGAGCAAAAAAAAAAAAAGAAATTCTAATTAAACATAATTTGCAATACATTACATGAAGTGTTTAGAAAGGCTGTGTAAGTCACATGCATGGAGGTTTGCCTAGGACTGCATAAATAAAAAGGTTTAACTCCTAGATAGCAAAGAATTAAGCAGTGAGACTGTAGGGGAATGATCTATACAACAAAACTGCTTCATTAAGCTAAAGTTATTTGGGGGCTATAGTGTCTCCTTAAGTTAATTTATTTGTTTATATTCCTTTAAATTAATCATCTCCACAAAGCATTACAAATAGTATTGCTTAACTCCCCTTAATGCTATATACAGTCCATATGTGGACAAGTACAAATGTTGTATTGACTCCAGCACACTAGATTTAAAAGAAAATAATTTCAGGGTATTTACACGCACAAAAGATGAATCTTGTAGAGGTTACAGCACTGTATATACAGTCCCTAAACTTAAATACTCATCTAAATAATCATCTAAAAAGGTATAAGAAATAGTGTTATGGTATGAATTATTGCTGTTGCACTTGTCTTAATTGAATATACAACTGCTTACTGCCTCTGGATGAGTTCACGGGTTTGCAGAATCACAGCTTCTTATCAGCTTTAATAAAATTCATCAAAACCAGTGAAGAATATATGTTTCACCTGCTAATCATAGAGGAGTGGGGAAAATGCCCCAAAACAATTGAGAACTGAACATGACTACTGCTAAAGTCTGGCAGGGCATTGCTAAGAAAGATGCCCAGGAAATGCCTGTGGGCTGCAGAGTTCAAGCATTCACAAAATGAAAAGTATTCACAATGAAGTATTGAGATGGCAATTCATCAAGTTAAGATTTGTTTAGTAAAATTAAATGGAAGTAGTTCCTATACAATTCATCATTTATTGAATCAAGTGTCTGCAAATTAATGCTGATTGTCTACACTTAATTTTTTCATTTCCTGTTCAGTGTGCTAGAAATTAGAGACAAACAAAATTTCTCTATCTAATGACTTACTGAGTGCACTGAATACGGTATCTTTGCTATCTGATTAGGGCACATTTATTCTGTGTATGTAAAACATAATCAAGAGAATAACAATGTCCTAGACTTGTAGTCTGGCTGATTAGGTAATATAAAGAAATTCCGATTTGCGAGCCACGACATGCAAGAATCTTGGGGGAACCGACTTGTGCAAATCCAAACACGTCCGATTCTTAATTCTGATTGCTGTTCAAGAATAAAAAGGGATGTGAAAAAATAAAACAGAGGCTGATTAATTAATTTATTTATTTATGAGAGGGGGAAAATAAGCAGCTTAGTTTTCCATGATGGGTAAGAGGTCTGCACAATCATGTGAGCTGGATCCCCTGTCTTATCAAGAGGTACCAAAAAAGGAGATGGTTAAGGGACTGCAACTAAATGTTGAATTTGGTCAAGTGAAGTGACCAAAAGAGGGAAAACGGAGGAGCAATAAAACAATTATACATCCAAGCAGGATTCTTCTAGATAATTTGACTTCAGCTATTGGGGGAGGCAGGCCAGCAGTGATCTTGTGTGGTTACTCTGTACCAGCATAGGATATAGCCTGCGTCACTGATTCTAATGTGAGACTAGGCTTAGCAGTGTCTGCTGTATGTAGCCAGCAGGCAGCTACTAACATAAGTACTTGAAACAACCTCGAGTGGGAGATAGGAGATGGGCAGGCATTTTGTAATTGATCAAAGTGAGAGACTAGATGACAAGTATACAGTTGCCAAAAATGGGGTTTTTTTTGTATTTGTTGTTTTGGGAAAGAAAATTATATATTTTTTTTCAACTGTGTGCAGTGTTTTTTAATGTCAATAAGACAATAGCGTTAAAGCAATAAATCCACCAAGCACTAATCCATTTTGCAATGTAAACACCTGTTTTTGCAGAGTAAAGTGGCATTACATTACACAATACATAGTCATGCATATACCTTGCCTAATTTATTCTAACAGTTACATAGTTACATACGCTGAAAAAAGACATGTGTCCATCAAGTTTGGCTTTTCTCACGCCTGTTTTTGCTGTTGATACAAAATAAGGAAAAAAAAACAAAACAACAGTTTAAAGCACTTCCAATTTTGCAACAAACTCGGAACAAAATTTCTTCTTGACCTTAGAATGGCAGTCAGATTTATCCTTGGATCAAGAAGCTATTACCCTACTCATTAAAAAGTATATCCCTGTATATTATGTTCTTGCAAATATTCAGCCAATTGCTGTTGAAATATTTGTATAGACTCTGATAAAACCACCAAAATTCCACATACAAAGAGAAAAGTCCTGCGCTCACTCCCATCACTCCTGGGTGGCAGCAACAACCACAGTACACATCAGCTCCAATACATATAGTAAAAACCAAGAAAAAAAAGTTACCTGCGCTGTCTCCTTAATCCTCCTTAATGTATATTTAAACAAATGGAGGTTATTTAGTTACTCCAATGGACACTGGAGGGAATGCCCGCCACGTCAAGGCAGACCCCCCTAGACGGGTCCTACTCTGACCCTTCACCTTGCTTCCTTGAGCTTCTGGCAAAGACATCTCTAATGAGACAGAACGGGGTATTTTTTATATACACCCCTATATACTTATTAACCCTTAATAGGGAACACATGGGATGGGCGGCAGTATTGTAACCACAGCATTGTAACCACATTGTAAAATTCCACATCCCTATTGTTCTTAGTGTAAAAATTATTTCCTTTGCCTTAGAATAAATCTCCTTTCTTCCAATCTAAATTCGTGACCTTGTGTCCTATGTATAGTCATGTTTCCGAATAGATTTCCAGACAATGGTTTGTACTGGCCCCGAATATATTTGTATAATGTTTTCATATCCCCTCTGAGGTGCCGTTTCTTAAAACTTATGTGTTGGGAATAATACACTCCCCCTCCAATACCCGAGCTAGGTACTCTCAGGTGCGGGTATTATAAGTCACAAGTGGTGTCAACGTGAGGGGATGACATGTCTACTTGGTCATGGCCCACATTCAGCGTTTCCCCAGATGTGCTTTTTCCTCAAATATGAGTTTTTGCCAATGTTTTTTTTTTGCCTGGCCCCAGATCACCGGGTGGACTGGTAATCCTAGACCCTGGTCCACTTTGTGAACGAAGGAGGGAAACTGTTCGGAATAATACGCTTTGCCTATAGTTACCCAAGGCTTAAGCTACAGATGACCGGATGGCCAGTCTGTTTAACATTGGCTAACTTGGAACATGTCAGCTATTTGAAATAATATACTTTATCTATATCCAATGCTTGGTGAATATACCCCTAGACAAGAGCTGTAGAACATCATGTAACAAGTAACAGGTGTTATATCCTGTATGTTTCTGTTGTTGGCCTAATTTCCTGTTTTTCTCCCTTTGATCATAACTGCATAGTAATGTGTAATTTAGAACTGCATAGTAAATATCTTTTTATTCTTAGTGTGTAGACATATTAAAGGACCAGTATAGTGCCAAGAAAACATACTCGTTTTCCTGGCACTATAGTGCCCTGAGGGTGCCCCCACCCTCAGGGTCCCAATCCCGCCAGGCTGAAGGGGGAGGAAGGGTGTTAAACACTCACCTTTCTCTAGCACCGGGCTCCCTCGGCGCTGGGGACTCTCCTCCCTCTTCTGACGTCACCGGCTGAATGCGCATGCACGGCAAGAGCCGCGCGCGCATTCAGTCAGTCCATAGGAAAGCATTCTCAATGCTTTCCTATGGACGCTGACGTCTTTTCTAACTGTGAAAATCACAGTGAGAAGCACGAAAGCGCCTCCAGTGGCTGTCAATGAGACAGCCACTAGAGGCTGGATTAACCCTGCTATGTTTACAGCAAAAAGGGTTAAACCTAGCTGGACCTGGCACCCAGACCACTTCATTTAGCTGAAGTGGTCTGGGTGCCTATAGTGGTCCTTTAATTATTAGTTTTAATATTAATTTAATTAATATATTAATTTTAACTGCGTAGTTATAGTGAAACTTAGCTGCGAGCAAGGCCGGAACATGAAGATACAACTGCAGGCTTGCTATAGGTTAAAATGTTAAGATAAGATAGATGATTTTATTAGGATTGGATAATGCTTGTAACTACCACCCCTGTTTCCTGATGTATATAACTTGTTACACAGCCCATTAAAAGTCAGAAGCCACTTTGAACCTTACTTTGTCTTATCTCATTCATTGGGGCTTCTCGCCATATGGTTTATGGAAAAGGAGAAATACAGAGAGTTGCAAATTGCTTAGAAGTCCATGGCATGACATAAAGGAAAATTCCTGATGCAGGAAATCTTCACTTACATAAAGAGATTTAAATGTGTTAACCTTTCTTCATAACTAAAATGCTCCATTCCTTTTCTCAATTTTGTAGCCCTCCTCTGTATTTTTCTAGTGCCATAATATCCTTCTTTAGAACAAATGCCCAAAATCACATATCATATTCAATGTGTTGTCTTACCAGTGATTATTTAAAGAGGCAAAGTTATGTTTTCATCCAGAGAATGAATACCCTTTTAATGCATTACAATACCTTACTAGTCTTGGCAACTTCTGATTGATATTGCACATTTTTGCCTAGTCTGTTTATAACAATTCCAAATCCTTTTCATGTGTTGTTATCCCTAATTCACTACCATTTAGGGTGTAAATTGCTTGTGTATTCTGTACCCCAAAGTGCATAACATTGCATTTATCTACACTAAATTTCATCTGCCATTTGAGTGCCCTATCCAAATCCCTCTGCAGCAAAGCAATATCCTGCTCACATTTTATTACTTTACACAGTGGTGTATCCTGGTTTTGTGCTGCCCTAGGCAGGACAAAACGCAGGTGCCCCCCTCTCCTCCCGCGCCAACCCCCCCCGCCTTCTAAATACACACACACACACACACATTCACTGACAGATACGCATACACTCGCTAACAGAAACACACACACACTAACACACACACTAACAGACACACTCACACTCACTAACAGACACACACTCACTAACACACACACTCACAGGCAAACACACTCACACAGTCAGACACACACACACTCACTGACACACTAACAGACAAACATAGTCAGACACACACACTAACAGACACACTCACTCACTAGTAGACACACACACACACACACACTAACAAACACACACATTAACAGACACACACTCACTGACACACACACACACACACACAGGCAAACACACACTCACTGACACACAGTCAGACACACACACATACACACTAATAGACACAGTCAGACACACACACACTAACAAAACACACACACATTAACAGACACACACTCACTCACATTAACACATTTTTTTATTTAGCCCCCCCCCCCTAACCTTTGGGAGTGCTGGGGGGCAGGGGGGTTCATTACCTCCCTGGTGGTCCAGTGGATGCCGGCTGGGCTAGGCAGGCGGCTGGCGAGGGAGCTCTTCCCCTGAGCGGTCTGCTCAGCTCCCTCGCGCGCCGCAAAGTGAGGCTGGGAACCGGTAGATGACGTCATCTTCCGGTTCCCAGCCTCACTCTGCGGCGCGCGAGGGAGCTGAGCGGCGCTCAGGGGAAGAGCTCCCTCGCCAGCCGCCTGCCCAGCGCCGCCCGCCAGCCCAGCCGGTCAGTTAGCCGCGATGCTAACAAAGCATTTGCCTGGGCATTTGGGGGTGCGGCGTTTTTTGCCGCCCCCTGAAAAATGCCGCCCAAGGCAAATGCCTTGTTTGCCTCGCGGCTAAAACGCCCCTGACTTTACAGAGTATTGTGTCATCTGCAAACACTGAACCATGGCTTTCAATGCCTATTTCAAGATTATTTATAAATATGTTAAATAGAAGCAATCCCAGAACAGAACCCTGAGGGACACCACTTACCACTTTTATCCAGCTTGAAAATGTATCATTAATGGCAACTCTTTGTACTCTATCCTTAATCCAATGTTCTACCCAAGAACAAGAATATCCATCTAGACCAAGTTTGAAGACTAACCTATTGTGAGGAACCGTATAAAACACCTTGGCAAAATCCAATCAGATCACATCTACTGCAACACACTGATAATAAGAAAAAGAAACCCACCATCAATTAATGTATCAATGTAGGCACATAGTAGGCATGTGCATTGGAAAATGTTTAGATTCGGTTCGGCATTCCAAAATTCGGCACTTCGACGCTTTGGAACTTTGGCACTTCGGCACGACGGAAATTCGGTAATTTCGGAACTTTGGGACCTGGGCAATTCGGCACTTCGGCAACTTCGGCACTTCGGAATTTCGGAACATCTCTTGCAGCCGCTTGGTAGATAACTCCCTAATTCCCACGGTATTATTGAGTTATCTACCAAAAATTATCTGCGCAATCGAATGCGAAATTCGTATCCAGCGTCGCAGATGCGCCTCTAGTGGCTGTCTAGAAGACAGCCACTAGAGGCTGGATTAACCCCAAATGTAAGCATAGCAGTTTCTATAAAACTGCTATGTTTGCATCTGAAGGGTTAAAACCTGAGGGACCTGGCACCCAGACCACTTCACTGAGCTGAAGTGGTCTGGGTGACTATAGTGTCTCTTTAACTTATAATATTTTATACAGTTACACTGGTTTCTCAAAACATTAATTCAGTTTTATAAAGCGTTTAGTTAACAGCATATATAACGTCAGACTCCTGACAGCAGAGAATTGTAATTTCCTGACCATGCCTCTGTAAAGCCAATACATCACTTTCTGGAATTAAAACCTAATAATACGCACATCCCATTTTTACTATTTGTGGCAGAGCAATGTTCAAAGGAAAAATTTGCATATTTAACAGGATGTAACATGTAAGTGCTAGCCTTTTACTGGCCTATTCAGATATCTTTATTCAAACACATTATGCTTCATTATATTTTTTTTATTGACCATAGACAGAAATATGAATACATATAATAGATTTCATATTCTGATTTACATCATGCGCCTGTCATTCAAAGGTTGACACAGATACAAGGATAAGAAATGCCATGAAAAAAATAACCTTGTCTCTCTTGCCCACAGCGACATGTTGTGTGGTGCGTTATATAAATAAAACATTAAAGTGTGACACAGATTGAGAAGGAGGTATTGTGGATTTACCGGCAGAGTTACATCATTAAATGTCACACATCATGGTTTCTTTGATATTTTCAGAGCAGGAAAGGCAGTGACTGGCATCCGGTGGACCTCAGTTAAGTTGTCAAACTGTTCATAAAGCTCTGCACAGTGCTGGGAGGTGCTCATTGCCTGACACTCTTAGCCAATGAACTGGAGGGTCTGGCTCCAGAAGACCACAACTAAGGGGCAAACTGTTCCCAAATGGTTTTCGTACTTACCATGGGAAAGTACCAGGGCACCCCTGGCACCATATCCACTACTGTAAGTGAGTGTTCCTTTAAAAAACAATTTAATAAATGTGGCCATTTACATTTTAGACATTTTATTGTCTCTCTGGAGGTATGAAAAAGAATGCTCAATGTAGATTAGATACTATAACATGGTATGTTTGTTTTTGTTTTTTGCTTTTCTAGAGAGCAAAGTGTATGCATGGTTAATGACTAAACTAAGAATTTAGAGTGAATTTCAAATTTAAAGAGATACTATAAGTGCAAGGAATACAAAGCTGTATTCCTAGCACTATAGCTCCCTCTGTCTCCCCCTTCCCTCGCACCTCCCCACCCCCATCCCCCACTGTTAATAAAGGGGACTCACATTAGACGTCCCCATAGGATAGCATTGAATCAATGCTTTCCTATGGGGAAAAATCTGACGCTGGATGTCCTCATGCAGCGCGTGAAGACGTCCAGCGTCAGTTACCGGACCAAAGGTTTGGATTCAGGAAGCCCTCTAGTGGCTGTCTGGGAGACAGCCACTGGAGGTAGACAGTGCTGCACTGTAAACAATCAAATGTGAAATTCTCTTTGAATTCACTTAGAATTGTATTTTTAGTATATAACCTTGTATGGATTGGAGTAAGAATGGACAATAGATAAGTTCCGACTCAAGAGGAGCAGACATTTTTCTGAATTTTTTGAAATTATGTTTACTAGACGTGTGCATTTGGATCCAGTCAAATTGCTTTTCACATGTATTTTGGGTGTTTTGCGATTCGGCTAGAATCACTAACTCCGAAATGTCATACGGCATTTCACAAAACAGACAAAATAACCAATGGATGCATGCATATTCTCTTCCCATACTTTCCCCCCTGATGTCCCTCTCCATCAAACATCTCTACCCTGATGAAAGATCAGATCCATGATTCTTTAAACACAGCACTGGTCAGCCATGCTACAAAGTAAAAACATGAGTAGAGTTGTGCTCACCAGTCCGGCTGTGGAATAGACTCAGCCCAGAAAAAAAATCATCCGAAGTTGATGTAGCAACCACTGTTGAACTTGGCCTCTGACTAAGTGCTTGACTAGCATGAAACGTGTAAGGCGTTAGGTGTCCTCGAGTGATGTTATTTTGATACATTTGTGTGCACTATTTCCTATATCCTCCTCATGAAATATTTTATAATGGATTTTCAATAAATGAGAAATGTTTATCCTTGAAGTGTTGGATGCTACAAAGTAAGTCATGGGGTTCCACCTAGGATGCATCTGTTGTTAGTGCCGGCCACTTGGTAAAGTTACATTGGCTGACTGGGGAGAACGACTGATCGTCTGCCCATGACTGCAATGTTGTAACTGGGCCCCTGACTGTCCTAAACCTTTTCATCTGCTGTGCTCTCTCTGCCTTGCTCTGTGCTGGATTTTATAATCCTGTTAGTAATGGGTGAGGCTGAAACATCTGAAATCAACAATTATAAGGGTGCCCAATAATAAACTATGTTCTGCTGAGGATTGTATATCTTTATTCTGCAGTTTTATAAACATGTGGCTTAACCATAATTTTGCTTATCTTCTCCCATATACGTGATGTAATTGTAGGGCTTAGCTCAGGGGGAGCTAATGGAAGCTGAGCACTGACACTCCATATGAAATAGTTGAGTCAGAGAACGGTGCACAGCAGACCTCAGGTAATATGTCGAACCCACTTACCTTGGGTCAAAAAGGTGATTTACTCCATCTTTTCCAGCACAGTGCTGGTCTGGTCCCAGCTTTCCCCGCCCCCCTTGGCTGAGAACATCAAACTTAAGGATCTCAACTAATCCAGTGGTTTCCTATAGAAAAGTATTGGTAGGCTATCGGGCATGTGCTGCAAAATGCAGCACTGTGCCAATCAGCATCTCCTTATGCATTGACTCAATGCATCTCTGTGGGGAAAGTTCATGCCGAGCATGGAGACACTGAACGTCAGTGCGCACTGACCCAGGAAGCATCTCTAGTGGCCGTCTCAGCGACTGCCACTAGAGGTGTCCCTAGGGAGCAATGTAAACACTGCCTTTTTTTGAAAAGGCAATGTTTACATGAAAATGCCTGCAGGGACCGACTATACTCACCAGAACAAATACAATAAGCTGTAGGTGATCTGATGACTATAGTGTCCCTTTAAGTTTATTTTTCAGACCTGACAAAACATGCAATTGTTAGTGAAAAACACTATAAGAAAAAAAGATAAACATAAACATTTCTAAATTGCAAAATGTTTTCTAAGCGAGATTTCAGAAGGAAAAAAACTCATTTTTATAGTCACATCTTGGTTATCTTACCCTAAATGTTGCAATTTCAAACAATTCGCTGTTATATATAAATATTGATTCTCTATACCTCACTTGTGTGAAGACTGAAAACAAGCAGGATCTCAAACAATAAAACATTATATATATATATGAGCCCTATTTCATTCCCAGTAAATAATTTATTGAACAATAAAAAAGCGCCGTATTAGTTAGTGTTGACGCTGAGGACATGTCACATTTATGTAGAGTTACAATATTAATAGCGTTCTATCACTGTCCATAGACGGTCAGAGCCGCACTGCACGTCGGGAAATGTAAGGCAGTCGCGCAATGCGTGTCGGGAGATGTAGTTCACTGAGGACCAAAACACAGGACTGGCGGGCTCTGACGGCGGCAGGCACACCGGGCAATCTCCGGTAATACACCGTGTGGGCTCTGTCCCGGCCTGGCAATGATCCATGAGCTGCTGCTGGCACTGAGCGGATACCCGGGCAGCATCTTCACCTGGAACAAGCGCACAGGCCTCCAGGTAATACTATATACCGTATATATATATATATATAAAATATTACATTACAGTGTAAATATATAATACATTATATAGATAATACAGTGTAAATATAATACAGCAATACAGTATATAGATAATACAGTAATACAGTGTATATATAATACAGTAATACAGTGTATATATAATACAGCAATACAGTATATAGATAATACAGTAATACAGTATATAGATAATACAGTAATACAGTAGATAGATAATACAGTAATACAGTGTATATATAATACAGTATATAGATAATACAGTAATACAGTGTATATATAATACAGTAATACAGTGTATATATAATACAGCAATACAGTATATAGATAATACAGTAATACAGTATATAGATAATACAGTAATACAGTGTATATATAATACAGCAATACAGTATATAGATAATACAGCAATACAGTATATAGATAATACAGTATATAGATAATACAGTGTATATATAATACAGCAATACAGTATATAGATAATACAGCAATACAGTATATAGATAATACAGTAATACAGTATATAGATAATACAGTGTAAATATAATACAGTAATACAGTATATAGATAATACAGTAATACAGTATATAGATAATACAGTATATAGATAATACAGTGTAAATATAATACAGTAATACAGTATATAGATAATACAGTAATACAGTATATAGATAATTCAGTAATACAGTATATAGATAATACAGTGTAAATATAATACAGTGATACAGTATATAGATAATACAGTAATACAGTATATAGATAATACAGCAATACAGTATATAGATAATACAGTAATACAGTATATAGATAATACAGTGTAAATATAATACAGCAATACAGTATATAGATAATACAGTAATACAGTGTATATATAATACAGCAATACAGTATATAGATAATACAGAATTTAGATAATACAGTAATACAGTGTATATATAATACAGCAATACAGTGTATAGATAATACAGCAATACAGTATATAGATAATACAGTAATACAGTATATAGATAATTCAGTAATACAGTATATAGATAATACAGTGTAAATATAATACAGCAATACAGTATATAGATAATACAGTAATACAGTGTATATATAATACAGCAATACAGTATATAGATAATACAGTAATACAGTGTATATATAATACAGCAATACAGTATATAGATAATACAGTAATACAGTGTATATATAATACAGCAATACAGTGTATAGATAATACAGCAATACAGTATATAGATAATACAGTAATACAGTATATAGATAATACAGTGTAAATATAATACAGCAATACAGTATATAGATAATACAGTAATACAGTATATAGGTAATACAGTGTATATATAATACAGCAATACAGTATATAGATAATACAGTAATACAGTGTATATATAATACAGCAATACAGTATATAGATAATACAGTATTTAGATAATACAGTAATACAGTGTATATATAATACAGCAATACAGTGTATAGATAATACAGCAATACAGTATATAGATAATACAGTAATACAGTATATAGATAATTCAGTAATACAGTATATAGATAATACAGTGTAAATATAATACAGCAATACAGTATATAGATAATACAGTAATACAGTATATAGATAATTCAGTAATACAGTATATAGATAATACAGTGTAAATATAATACAGTAATACAGTATATAGATAATACAGTAATACAGAAGATATATAATACAGCAATACAGTATAGGTAATACAGGAGATAGATATATATATCTCCTGTATTATCTATACTGTATTGCTGTATTATATATCTACTGTATTATCTATATACGATATATATATATATATCCTGTATTATCTATATACTGTATTACTGTATTATATATCTTCTGTATTACTGTATTATCTATATACTGTATTGCTGTATTATATATACACTGTATTATCTATTTACTGTGTATATATTTATATATATACGGTAAATAGATAATACAGTAGATAGATAATACAGTAATACTATATATATATATATATATATATATATATATATATATATGTATATAATTATATTACAGTATTTAGGAGTCTGGTAGCTGTCAGACAGCCTAGGCTTCATTCAAACATTATAGCACAGCTCCTGGGACTGTTACATTAATTCTCTAATTATAATAATAATTAGCACGTTCCTTTCACTATGTATAGTCAATATACCTAAAGGAACATGCTCATAATTATTAGTTTTCACCTAGATGTGTTTCTTAACCTGTTTTTAAATTCTGCCATCCCTTTTTTTTGTTTATTTAAAGGACCAGTAAGTTTATCTTTATTCCCTCACAAGGATGCCATGATTGGATGTTTGGAAGCATTGATAACAAATGGTGCATGGAAATACCGCCATGCATCATTTTTAAAGCTTATTTTTTATATATAGGGCATTGAACTAGTGCTTCTCATAGAAAAGCATTGGATGCTTTTCATGCTTACACTGGTCTGAATCAATGCTTTCCTTTGGGGTCTTTTTGACACTGGATGTCCTCATGTACAGCATGAGGACGTCCAGCATCAGTTAGGCGACCAAAAGTCACCTAAGGACCCGGAAAGCGCCTCTAGTAGACAGCCACTAGAGGTGGAATTAACCCTGCAAGGTAATTATTACAGTTTATCATAACTGCAATACTTACAATTGCAGGGTTAAGGGGACAAGGGCACTGCTCCCAGACCACTTCAGTGAGCTGAAGTGGCCTGGGTGCCTATAGTGTCCCTTTAACTTAGTGTGTTTGTTTCTAGTGCTTGAAGAAAAAAACATGCTCACCCTAGTAATTTTTCTTTAAATTGTTTTATTCTTGAGTTCAGGCTACATAATTATTTAATTAGTGTCATTATTTAGGGAATGATTTTACTTGATCTCAAACAATTGGCTGGTGAGAAATGTAAGGCTATTAAGAGAATTTCCACCAGGCACAGCAGACATTGCTTGTCAAGTTTTCAGTAATTTGGGATCTGCAGTAGCAAAACATGGAAAACGTCCCTACACTAGCTCATCATGAAATGATACAGTGACACTGGTGCAGAATAATCTGGTCCTCCGGTGGTGATGTGTGAGACAAATTTCTCAGCTATGTCACTCCCCTGCCATATATTTACATGGCTTATTCACAAAAGGGAGAATTCAAAAGGAATTTCAAACTTAAGGTCAAAATGCTCTAACTCTGTTATGCTTCCAATTCAACTACTCTGGCCTTAAAGGACCATTATAGGCACCCAGACCACTTCAGCTCAATGGAGTGGTCTGGGTGCCAGGTCCCTCTAGGGTTAACCCTGCCTGCTGTAAAACATTGCAGCTTCAGAGACACTGCTATTTTTACATATGGGTTAATCCAGCCTCTAGTGGCTGTCTCATTGAGAGGGCTTCTAGAGGGCTTCCGCGCTTCTCACTGTGATTTTCACAGTGAATGCTTTCCTACGGAAAAGCTGAACATTGAGAATGCTTTCCTATAGAAAAGCTGAATGCGCGCATTCAGCCGATGACGTCCAAAGGATGAGGAAAGTCCCCAGCGCCGAAGAAGCCCGGCGCTGGATAAAGGTAAGTGTTTAACCCCTTCCTCCAACTTCAGCCCGGCAGGAGGGGCACCCTGAGGGTGGGGGCACCCTCAGGGCAATATATGCCAGGAAAACGAGTTTGTTTTCCTGGCACTATAGTGGTCCTTTAAATTTTAAACTCACTTTGAATAACCTTGTCAGTCTCATTGATTTTTCATTCACTATTTTCTCCCTAATCATGCCTTTCCTCAATCATGATTATACCTCTTTGCTCCTTTTTCTGTTCCCCAGTCTTGCATATTCCTCCTGGCTCCTCCCACCTGTCTCTAGTCATGCATTGGGTATCTTTTGTATTGCAGGTATCACAGGATCTGCCATTTCTCCATCCTGGGGAAACCAGTGTTCTTAATCGTCTCTGCAAGCTTGGCACTGACTACATCCGATTCACAGAATTTATAGAGCAGTACACAGGCCATGTTCAACAACCGGTAAATTTACTGTTGAAATATTTTTCAGAAAGAAAGGATACTTCATCCTGGGGTTGACAATATTTAAAAAAATAAATGAAACACACTTTGCAATATCTCTTGTTTGGAGAAAATAAACAGGATCTCCAAACAACACTAGCGGCTAAGAACTCTCAGCTAAACCTGATGCTCTTATTAAAATAATAATAATTGGTATGATAAACTTCTTTTTACCAAAGGATTGAGAAATGGTTATAGCATTTGTAGTGCGTTCTATACAGTTCTCAATAAAATAACTGAAGTGCAACAAAGATGGCAGAATGCACATTTTGAATTTATTTTAACAATTTAGTAGATATACCCCAGAAAAACACATGCAGATCTGCTGTCTGCGGACTTTGCCAGTCTGTCCATCTTTTAGGAATACACCAATCAGAGGCTTCTTTATGAGCATAGAGCTGGGGCTGCACGTGCGATTACAGTTTTCCTATGCTTCTCAGTAAACTGTGGAGTCAACGGAAGTGGAAGAAAAACTCCCTGGCTGTCTGATTTTGGCAACGTTTTATAAAAGTGATGATTTCTGTTGAAATAGGTACTTTTATAAACTGTCACAAATATGACAGACTCCAGACATACAAAGCACTTCAGCGAGTTAAAGTTCTTCACGTGCCTAAATTGTTCCATTATTAATACCTTTTTAGGTAACTTTTTTGATTAAATTGTGCTTATTTTTTTGTTTTGTTTCTTGGCCTTTCGGCTACGATAGGATCAATTGTAAATTGTGCTTCATTCACAGTTTAATCTTTTGTAACCTAATTCAGTATACCAAAAAGAAAAACTAAGTGTAGATATTTCAATGTGGTGAGAAATGGAGAGTTAAAAAAAACAACAATCCATTCCAAGCACCTGTTTCACTCAAAATACCATGTTAGCCAATCATTATGCATCTAACCTGAGGCAATCATCATATCTTGGTGTAGAATGCAATATTTCAAGGAGTAAAGTTCTTTATCAGATTTTAAAATGCTCTGTCACTGCCCCTCTCCAAAAATGATCAAATCTCTATGAAATGCTCACATTGGCTGTGTTGGAAATTCACTGAAATTCCAAAGCAGTCAAAACGTATTTGAAGATAAATTGTGTATGTAAGATCTCGCAGGATCCTTCAACCCCACTGCTGTACTACTGTGCATGCATAAAAGTACAACACTGAAGTGGGCTGCAAGCAGATACCCACCAGTCAGGGTTGGTTAAGATAAGTAAAATTCTCCTTAATATGTCTGAAATTTCCAAGTCTTACAGGGTTATTCACTAAAGGGAGAATTGCGGGAAACTCAAAGTACATTTCAAATTTATGGTCAGTGTAACCAACCTGAAACCATACCTGATTTACAGCATTTATCCAGTTTCACTATTTTGACTTTAATTTCAATCCCACTTTAAATTCCTAACAATTCTCTGTATGTTCTATGATAACTACCAAAAAGCATTGTCACGTGTAACATGCCAATCTAAAAGAAGAGCAAAAGTGAAATCTGCAGGAATACAACACAAAACCTCTTGAAATGATTTGGTCTGTACTCTTCACACACCTTATCTGCTACTGTATTACGTGATACAATGCTAGTCTTTATTACACAATTCAACATGTTAAATGGGCTCCCCTTTATAGCCATCAGACTTTCATTGACGTAAGAAATAAAATAATTTGATTAAAGGCTTTTTTTTCCATAGTGAGTGAATGATTGTTAAAAGCCTTATGAAATATTTATAGTTTTTTTTTGTTTTTTGTTCTTTTCTATCAGGATCACCATCCTTCTCAACAAGGACAGATTGGGCTTCATGGTATTTATCTAAGAGCATTTTGCAGAGGCCTTGATTCAATACTTCAACCATATAGACAAGCTTTACTAGACTTGGAACAAGAGGTAAGAAACATACCATCATTTGACATGGGATAATGTGGTAGCAGGATTTAACTTTTGGGAACGTATTTAATGAAATTGCTCATTTAACCATTGCTGTACAATGACATCCTGTTTTTATGTCCAATAACTCTTAAGTAACAATAGGTGTTTGTAACACTCAAAGCATAAAACAAGCTTTGTTCATTCTACATCACAAAGATCAATTCAATGAAATGTAAAAAAAAAAATAATGAATTCGCAACTTCTGTAGAAACAAAACTTTTTTTAAAATTTTTTTAAATATACATGTCTGCAGTGAATGGTTATCGTTTCCACTCCAAACCTATAAACCACAAGATCTTGTTAAGATCTTGTAAACTGCATTCTGGCCCATTGCCCCATACCGAGAAATGTTTTGTGAATATTGTTTAAAAAAATTTTTTTTTAGTAGTTTTTAATAAATTTTACCTTCTTTGCTAAGTTGATAAAAAAACAAACAAAAAAAACCCACCATGTCCAAAAAGAATAAGAAAACATATTTAAAAAAACCTTTAAATATATAGTTGTCCTATAGATGCATTTACTTTAAAACTCTGAACTCATCAAATTTTATTTGATTTATTTTTTGGTTTCAGTTCTTGGCTGACCCACATCTTTCAATTTCACATGTCAATTATTCCTTGGACCAGGTATGTGCTTTTTTTTTCATATGGTTAACTACTTTATTTAAAACTAATTGAAAAATATACTGATCAGCCCCAATATTTAAAATCACTGACAGGTGAAGTGAATAACATTGATTATATTGCTACAATGGCACCTGTCAAGTGAGTGGGATATATTAAGTAGCCAGTCAATTCTTGAATTTCATGTGTTGGAAGAAGGAAAAATAGGCAAGTGAAAAGATCTGAGTGACTTTGACAAGGCTAAAATAGTGATCGGCTAGATGACTGGGTCAGAGAATCTCAAAAACGGCAAGTCTTGTGGGGTGTTTTAAGTATGCAGTGTTTACTACCTAACAAATGTGATGCAGGGAAGGACAATCTGTGAACAGAGGTCAGGGCCATGGGCATCCAGAACAGACAGTGCATCCAAGTTTGCTGCGTATGCGGTTACATTAACACAGAACAGAGTGCCCTTGATGACCCCTGACCACCAATGAAAGTGCCTCCAATAGGGACATGAGCATCATAACTGGACCATAGCAATGGAAGAAGGTTGCCTGGTCTGAGGAATCACGTTATCTTGGATCAGGTGGACGTCCGGGTGCGTGTGCATACCTGGGAAAGAGATAGCAGCAGGATGCACTATGGGAAGAAGGCAAGCAGACGTAGTGTTATGCTCTAGGGTATGTTCTGCTGGAATCCTTGGTTCCTGGCATTCATGTGGATGCTTATTTGACACGTACCCTGATGGCAGTGTCCTCTTTCAGCAGGTTAATGCACTCTGTCATGTTCCCCCACCAATTCCTTTTATTTTGGCAAAGAGTTCACGGTGTTGCCTTGGCCTCCACATTTCCCAGATTTCAATCCTGTTGAGCATCTGTGGGATGTGCTGGAATAACAAATCTGGTCCATGGAGGCCTCAATGCATCAATGCTGTTTTGGCAGCACGAGGGGCACCCATACAATATTAGGCAGGTGGTTTTAATGTTGTAGCTGAAACAGTGTACCTCTAGTTCCTTACTTAGTTGCAGTTTAATATGTTATTTTGTGAAATGTTATATGAGAATGCGGTTTACATGGTTTTTAAAATCTAAGTCCCCATGACATCCATGTGTGTTCTTACTTTTACTCCAGTCAATATGTCTGAAATTGTGTGTGTGTTTTTTTTTGTTTTTTTTTCTTCTTCCCAGTTTCATCTCCTCTTTCCATCGTTGATGGTTGTGGTGGAGCAGATCAAGAGCCAAAAGGTATTGTTTATTTGTAAACCTCATATAACAAAGCACCATTGTATAATCATTTTTTTTTTTTAAAGCATTAGGCCTATGTAGAGCGAACAGAGAATTGTAAATTATTTATTCACAGATAATCATTTTTTCTTGTGCTTTATTCTAAGTAGACATTTGATCTATAAACAAGAACTTGCTAATTTTTATTTCTGTGATGCTTGCAGGAGAGAGCTGTTATTTCACTACTCTGAATTATAGTACTGCATGTAACAAATAGAAATAGTACTCCAAAGATGTCAGGCACTTGTGCTGAAGCCTGGCACCTATCAATATATAGCACCACATGCGTTGATTATATATTTGTTTATTCCACTCCATATAAACCTGTAGTGTACAGTCACTTAGTCCCTCTACTGCCCCTTTTTAAAATCCATGTTTTGCTATTTTTACAGTCGCCGGCAGTTATACTGCCTTCAGATCCTTCCTAACATTTTATTTATGTGAACCTTGATCTCATGATGTTACTTGAAAAGATGAGTCAACAAGTGCGTGTTTTTTACTTAAATGTCAAATTCATTTGGAAAGAAATATTGACTAGAATTTCATGTCCTGCCATTCACCGTAAAATAGCAAGTCAGATTTGTTGTTGCTTTTTAAAAAAAAAATAAAAAAATTTTCATGTATTATGTCATCCGTTTTGTTGTACATTGTGAACCTATTCTCATTAACAGTGTATATATATACAATTTACTTAAAAATAAATTGCATAAGGCGTGATTTATTTGCAGATTCATGGCTGTCAGATGTTAGAAACGGTTTACAAGCACAGCTGTGGAGGTCTGCCGCCTGTCCGTGATGCCCTCGAAAAGTAATTTTTTTTTGTTTTTCTTTTATACAAATCTGTTGCCAGTAATGTATGTCAATAAACATGTTTGGAGTGATCATAACAACTGTAGTGGTCAGTAACAACTTTCACCACCAGCCAGCAATATGTGTTGGGTTAGGGGGATATGGGAAGTTTAACAATCAAAAAACAAGTCTTTCACAGCCTATCACAGTACCCATTGTTGATATGAATTGGTATGGCTAGAAGGTAGTGTGTAATTATCTGTGTTAGCCATACTTCCACTAGGGACCAGGGCTGTGGTTGACCAGGGACCTTTATTTCACGTTAAACTGCTTGAAAATGAATGGAGAGACAATACCAGGGGACTCTAGGCACTATGACCAATTCAATGGAACGAAAAGGCTATATATAATATATATAGTGTTTTGTGAAGTGTCCCTTTAATATGGCTGTGTATATGTGTGGTTTTGTTTCTTTTTCAGAATCCTAGCAGTGTGTCATGGAGTGATGTACAAACAGTTGTCAGCCTGGATGCTTCATGGTCTTCTCTTGGACCAATATGAAGAGTTCTTTGTTAGACAGGGATCCGCATCTGGCAGCTCAACTGCCCAAGCTGATGAAGAAGAGGATGACTTGGGTATTGGGGGACTGACAGGAAAACAACTACGAGAGTTGCAGGACCTGGTGAGATTAGAGATGACTTGGCTCACATTTTCTGAATACATCAAGGTTGTCCTAATTAAAACATACCTCTTCTGCTGTTAAAGAATTTACATATCCTAATAGGTTGTCACATAATGACACAACACATTCGATCAATGCCAAGACTAATCAACTTATAAAGCAATGCTGCTGGTGATGCTTGTTTACGTAACAAATATTGAGATGTTTTTGAAATTATTATTTTCCTACCTAATTATTCATGTTTGACAGCGCCTTATTGAGGAGGAGAACATGCTGGCACCCTCTCTCAAACAGTTTTCTTTGCGAGTGGAAATGCTGCCTTCCTACATTCCTGTAAGAGTCGCTGAGAAGATCTTGTTTGTGGGAGAATCTGTACAGATGTTTGAAAACCAAAATGTAAATATATCTAGAACAGGTAGGAGACCTTTCTCTGTCTTTTTACTGCGCTGTCATATTCTAACACTATGTTGGTAGTCTCTATGTCAATATAGACTGCATTGTAAATGGTAAATGTTTTGCCCTTAGAAACATTGCATGTTTTCCTGGCCTTGTACTGTGAGTACAGATGAATTGGCTGGTGGTGGTGTCATTCTGGAAGTCATCTGTGCACATGTTAACCCATAGTCCAAAAGTGTAGCAAATGTTAAAATGTGGACAACCAAGAATGTTCAGTTGTATTACATTACCTATTTAGCATCAATTTGTAATTTTAGTTTTTGATTTATTTCCCAAATCAGTCCTCAAGACCCAACAACAGTCAAAGTTTTGTCAGTATCTCTATTGGAATGAAACCAGGAAATACATAAATAATATATTGCTGGTGGGCCATGAGGACTGGCTTGGGAACCACTGGTGTAGAGAGTACTGAAAAAAACATTGCATTTAAAAAAAAAAAAAAGATTTTTAGAAAACCTGATTCATCAGCATTTTTTAGTTGTTTATTTGTCCCCAACAGGTTCGATCTTAAAAAATCAGGAAGACACATTTGCTGCAGAACTGCATAGGCTGAAACAACAACCACTATTCAGTTTGGTAGATTTTGAATCTGTTCTTGATAGGATCAGAAGCACAGTTGCCGAGGTAATGATTTTAACAATTAGATAATTATATATATATATATATATATATATATATATATATATATATATATTTTTTTTTTTTTTTAAACAATTATAACTCTTAATGGGTTACTCCAACCCATTTGAGGAGGTGGGGACCTTTTCTGTGTAAAATTCCTTATTGGGCACTATGGAAAAGGTCCACCCCAGCCTCGATATTCAACAAGAGCTAAAAAAAATATATATATTTTTATTTTTTTTACTTACCTGAAATCCAATGCTGGGCGAAACTCCCATCACTGACCTCTATGCCCCCTCCAACGACATAAGGGCCTCGTACGGTCCAATCACAGGCTTCTTGTAGAAAAGGCCTGGGAATGGATACATTTGCTGACTCAGGGCACATGCTTGTGCTCCAGGCCGACAAGACGAGCGGTGGAAGGAAGTGCCTATAGGGAGGAAGGTTGGGAGGGGAGAACTAGCTTCCCCTCTGCCTGCAAGGGTAACTTTTTTTTTCACATCTGTTGGCAGCATGACGTGCGCTCTGGAAAATTTATTTTATACACAGAATTGACATTGGCAGCCCGGAAAAGGCTGCCAATGTCACGTGTGCTGCGGGTGCAACCAGCCTCCAGCACACATTTTAAAATAATGCTGTATGTACAGTGCTTCAAGCTGAAACCGTGCACATACATACTCCTACCACCATTCAAATTACTAAAGTGGTCCTGGTGGTTGGATAACCCTTTAACACGCAATTAGCTTTTTCCAGCTAAAGCTTAGTTGCATGTACAATCAATAGCTAGTGTTAAGTGTAATGTCTGGCTGCTGGTGAGTGCTGTAGATGGAGTGCATTGATATGAAACGACCTACAGAAAATATTTCCCCAAATTTTAATGGATCAAATTCAGCAAACTGTGTCTGAAGCCAACAAAAGTCTTTGTTGTGTTCCTTCAGAGTGTGAGGTTACGCTGTTGGGACCAATAAAACCAGCCAGGAACAGCTTGGTTCAGTGTTCACATCTTGATGTTGCCATTAAAATTTGAATGGATGATGAGGATGTAAAATTCCTTATCTCTCTGATAGCAGAGAAAGGTCATTTATTGTGATAAATTGTTCAATTAGTATGAAAGAAAAACTTGTAGAGATGACAGTAATATTTTATAACATGTACACTTGTATATTTGAACATTGAACTGGGATCGATGGCACCCTCATATACTTTTTGAATATATATGGATTCACCTTTTGTCAGCATGTTTTGTTTTCAAATTTTTATTTGTGTTATTGTTTTTAGCACTTGTGGAAGCTTATGGTTGAAGAATCAGACCTTCTAGGACAGTTAAAGGTAAGAAATGGCTCTGTAAGGATTTAATTAATATTGAAAATGTTAAAACTAAACAGTGGGCTAGGACAAAATAACTGAGGTACATTGGCAGGTATCTAGGAAAGGGGAATTAACCACCAGTGTTTAAATTGATAGCTGGTTAAAGCAGTGGTAATATCACTGCCTTGGAACTTGGATTCCCGATCAGACCAAGTAAGTGTTCTAGAATAAGACACCTAATGATGTAAATCTACCTACCTCACATCCTCATAGATTGTATGCTGATTTGAGCAGAGCCCCTTCATAGCCTCTTTGTATGAATGTTAACGGCATATGGTGGCACAGTAAGGCAATAAAGTATTTGCCGAATTGTGTGTTAACCTGATGTACAGGCTTTATCACAAATTATGGGGCATATTGGTTACCCAATACTTTTCTGAAAGCAGGATTTACCTGGTGCTCTTCTTCCTTGTGGACCTATGTCCTTTCATATTACTTTGTTAAGGTTATTTGATGCTTATGAGTGTATATATAACATGTAGTCATCTATCTGTTTCATCTTTGAAAAGAATTCCTTTTTCCCACAACAGGTTATTCATTTAAGGGTGACTGTAGACGCTATAGCCTTTTCATTCCATTGAATTGGTTACAGTGCCTAGAGTCCCCTGGCATTGTCTCTCCATTCATTTTCAAGCAGTTTAACGGGAAATAAAGGTCTCTGGTCAACCACAGCCATGGTCCCTCCTGGAGGTATGGCTAACGCAAAAAATTACACACATTACTTTCTAGCCATACAGATTCAACAATGGGTACTGTGATAGGCTGGTAGTGGTCAGGTTAAACTCTCTCACTCACAACCACCTTACTGCTCTGGCTAATGCGTCCTCACTAGCCTAAGCAGCATGGGAGGAATGGGCTGCTGGCGACTATTGTTTTGCATTAAAACCTTTACCACTTCAATGAGTTGTGGAGAATTGAAAAGGAAATTGCATGTTTAAAATTGCTGAGCTGAAACATAAGTGATTTTTTGAGTATTTTTCCCTGTCTGGATAATTTGGCCTAGGATCTTTTATTCCCTTTTCAAGATTAATAATAAGATTTTAGGCTTTTTGTCCTCTAGTTTGTAATACCGTTTTCACCTACATTGTTTCTAAATCACATTGTTCCTAACATGGCTTCCACTCAAACCTCTCTCAAAAGGTGGTAGTGCAATCCGCAATATATGGAGTTCTCCGTAACCATTTGTTTTTTCACTGCGTCTGAAATCAATTATTCAACTCTAAAATTGGTTTAAAGGCCCAATCTTAACTTGTAAAATGAGCTTGGAGACCAGTTATTAGATTATAATGTAACACAGAGCAGATTAAATCTGCAAAACACCTACATTAGACTCATCCCAGTGTTAAGTGGGTCACTAATGAAGGCAAATCTATTGCAGTCATCAAATTACTTCGGTCATATTCTTGGGGACTGAAAGGTTTAATGCGCTTGCATCAATCAGTGGGAACACTGAATTAACACAGTGACCCAATGTTGGGCCCTAACCCAAGGGTTATAATCCACTGTTTAAACATGCCTTTACAGAAATACAAACTCCTTATGTTATTTATTTCAAGTGTCACTCCAGACATGTTTGTCTTGTTCATTTTGCAAAAAATAGATATTTCAATAGAAATTTATACTTTTCTAAATTAACCTTGTTGCACACCGCTGGCTTTCAAGCAGGTAACTGGTCCTGTTACTTCCTGGTTTGATTGGCCCAGTGGCGCTACCCTCAAAAGGCAGACAATAATTCAGAACACCTGACTTGCAAATACTTCTCATTGAGTTGCATTGGGAAGTCTGTGATTGGACAGCCACAGGAAGTCTAGGCGGAGTTAGAAGGGGAGAGTTTGCAAGGCAGCAGACAAGAGAACTGCAGGTTTTGCAAGAGGATTTTAGATATACACCCAATCAGAAAATGCGTAAAAATAAATACATACTTTCATTTGGGAAATATATGCTAAACAGTGATTTATTTATTTTTTTATTGTTTTTGTATTTTGTCAGTGGAGTGTCCCTTTAAGTTTTTAGCAGAGAGAAATACATTATCTAATTCCCTGTGCAAATCATATATTTTTTTCCTGTTTGAAGGAAATGAGTGCAGTGGATTTGTACTTGTTTAGCAGCAACGGACCAATCCACCATCTGTTATAAGAAAAGTGAGGTGGACAAAACAATCAGACATTGTTGTAATACGTATCTTTAATTAGAGTGGAGTAGCTTTAAATCAATTTGTTTATTTAAATACATCTTTAGTGTTCCCTGTTGAGGGATGAAATATGAAGTGTATTTATGACATCTTTAATCCTTTCTAATGTTTAGAATTAGTAGCAGGTATGTATGTTGAAATGTTCCTTTCCTAAACTATTTTAAAATTGACATTGATACGTAACGAAGGCGATGCAGTGACAGCATACAGAATGATCGATGCTACTACACTCACCACTTAATTATTATCGAACAATAATCTAAATCCCCATTGTCTCAAAATACATTTTCAACGAGAGTTTAAGCTGTTTATAATATAATTGTTTTGATGCTTGATTCAAAGATGGGGCAGCAGTTTGGTTCAAACAGTGCTTAGTAATGTGTTGTGGTTTTTGGTTTTTTTCCCCATTAATCATCTGTTCTCAATGGCATTCCAGAGATAATGCTGCTGTATTTATTATTGTAGATTATTAAGGATTTCTATCTTCTGGGAAGAGGGGAGTTGTTCCAAGCCTTTATTGATACTGCTCAGCATATGCTGAAAACTCCTCCCACTGCAGTAACAGAACACGGTGAGTCATTGAACATCATAGGACATCATTAAAATATATTGCTCAGTATTAAAAATATAACCACTTGTCTGATTGCTACACAGCTGAGCAGGTTATAAAAACATGTGTGCTCTGCCATGTTCCTTCAGTAGTGTGTGGTCGATTTGACTGCCAATCTTTCTTTTTGGGAGGCATTTATTATTAGTTGTACTTACAAAAGTAAAAAAACCACAGGTTCAACAGGATGAGAACCTCAAACAAGATTTATTTGAAACATGAACATAAAAAATACTCAACATTTTGTCGTTGAGGCTTAATCGTGTGTATATATACATGATTAAAGGGACACTATAGGTACCCAGACCACTTCATCTCTTTGAAATGGTTTGGGTGCACTGTCCCTCTAAGGGCAATGTAACACATTGCAATTTTAGATTAACTGCAATAATTACCTTGCAGGACTAAGACTGCCTCAAGTGACATTCTATCAGACAGCCACTACAGGCACTTCCGGGAATTCTAAAGGACTCGGAGTCCCTTAAACAATGCTCAAGGTTCTCATGCTTTGCACGAGGACATCCAGCATTCGTCAAATCCTCATTTGAAAACATTGAGGCAATGCTTTTCTATGGGGAGGGTCTAATACGCTTCCCGCGCATGTGGATAATGTCCCCCCATCGAGGAGGCAGAGTGCCAACCCAGTGCTGAGGGACATGCTAGAATCTGGTAAGTGACTAAGTTTAGAAAAAAAACGAAACAAAAAACCTTTATCTGCTATGGGGCGGGGCCGCGAGGGAAGAGGGGACCAAAGGGCACCATAGTGTTAAAAATACAGATTTGTATTCATACCACTATAGAATCCCTCTAAGGCCTCATGCCAAAACCTTGTATATTTTTTGTGTTCCTGTTTCGAAAAAAAATCTTGTTTGAACGTCTCATCCTTTCGAACCTGTGGAATTTCTACTTTTGATTATTTATTTGGAGATTGGTGTCCTTCATACTACGGTGTACCAGGTTGAACTTGGGTTCACTATTTCCTATCCATTGAGTGCCACACCATTACTACTTGAAGAATTGTGCTCACATATAGAAGCAATACCTGCTTGTTTTTTGTTTTTATAATGAAATTGATTATCTATGTTCTTTTGTCTATATTTAAACTGTTGTAGTTTGCTCAGGAGCAGGGTCTTCAGTTCCTTTTGTACTGGTGGTATGTGTTCATTTTGTCTGTATTACCTCTATTGTACAGTGCTGTGCAATATGCTGGCACTATATAAATATAAAATAATAATAATAGAATGTTTTGGGGAGTGTGTGAAAGAAAGAACCAATTGTGTTGAGATTTTATACAATTTAAAGTTATTTTTTGTTTTTGTATCAGATGTAAATGTTGCATTCCAGTTATCGGCACATAAAGTTCTACTTGACGATGACACTCTCCTTCCCTTGCTCCATTTGACCATTGATTACCATGGAAAAGAACACAAAGGTATATCAGGTAACTTAGTTAACCCAGAGTTCATGAGACAAAGTAAAGTTTCCTTGGTAAAAAAGTGGCATTCCAGCCATTTCCAATCAGCTGTTCTTTGCAATGGTTGATGGGAACATACATATTTTTGCATGATGCGCAATGTATAAATAGGACATCTTATTGTGTATAGTATCTCCCATCATCCTCTGTTTTGTACTCCTGTACATGATCGGTGTAACTCCTGGCAGATGAAGCTGCCAGGAGCTAAAGATACATGAAGAACATAGAGGTGTCAATGAGGGATGGTAAGTGTGTCTCTCAAACTATATTCCCACCCGTGGTGCCACCATAGAAGTGGATATCTTACTTTGAGAGTTCTTTGCTGAGGACAATGATCCTAAAATGCTATCTGAAAGGGTTCAAATATCATACTACACTATCTATGGTGGAGAAATCTTAATACTACTTGGCTATTGAATAACACCATATCATTCAAAGGTATATGAGCAAAATCTTTATAATTCACATTTGTACATCTTGTTATATTCTATGTGAAACAATAAGGAAAATGTGTACAGGAGTGTACCAATGTTTCGATTTATAATTTTTTTTATTCAGAAAAGGCTTGCATTTTATTCTGTTGACAATTTATTTTGGGCTTTGGTACTTGACTCAATATCACTCCACTGATTTATGGACATAGGGGAATTTACAAAATCCTTTTGTGTTCCTGTTTATAATTTTTTTTTTTTCTCTTTTCTCGCAGATCCATCCCAGCCGCGTGAAGTTCCTCCACGTGATACATCTCCTAGAGAAGCTCCCACCTCTGGCTGGGCTGTTCTGGGATTATCGTATAAAGTACAGTGGCCATTGCACATTCTTTTTACGCCAGCGGTTCTGGAAAAGTGAGTATTATGTCCCATTACACTAAAAAGAGAGGTTACATATAACTGATCAGCAGATTCAAATGTACATGTACAGAAAATGTAATAATAAAATAATTTTTAAAAAAAAGGAAACAAAACAACCCTGTTATTCCAGCATTAAGATGGTGTGTTCTCAAACTGAGCTCAGTACTCTTCATCCAAAGATGATGTCTGTATTCTCTTTCAGTTAGAGGCTTATAGATAAATTTGGATGTTAATTTTATCTTTTATATTCTTGTGTCAACAGTTTTTTTTTGTTTTTTTTAATAATTTTTTGAACTATATTTAAATGTGCTTGCATTTTAAAGGCACACTATAGGCACCCAGACAACTTCTCAATATAGCTCCCCTCCCAGTTTAACCCTGCAAGTGAAAACAATATTTTATAGCAGGGTTTAAAGGCTTCTGGTTGCTCAGCCATTAGACTCACTTCCTCCGAAAAAACTCTATTTTAATTTATTGAGCTCAGCCAAATAGGTTGGATGGCAGTGCAGTGAGGTGGCATGAGGCATCACAGGTGTTGCGGGGGAGAAAATATGGGGAACCTATTAAAATAATTAACAGGTTAAGGAGGACACAGTGTCCCCCCCAAACCACCAGCTATTAGCATGAGGGGCCCTAAATGACATTGGGTAGGGGTTGGGGTTTGTTCGCTTATTACAAAGAGGGAGCTACCGGCTCACTGCTCCCTCCTTGTAATATGTAAAAAGAGAAGCAGCAGGGAGATGTGTTCCTCCCCCACCCCTCATGCCACCCCTCATTTTATGGCTGTGCAATTTCACTCAGAGCACTCTGGTTGATTACGTAAACCACAGTTCTGTGACAGGTACCTGCAATGCTCAAGCTTTTCACGTCAGAGCACCCTGATCTTGAGTCTTACATGCTTGGCTTATGCAAACCGATCAGAGCATTCTGAATCAAATTGCACGGCGTGGGAAGACTATGTAACCCTTTTCCCGTCATACAGAGATCAGTCTGCACAGAGCCCTCCCCCTGTAAAGATTTTTTTTTTTGCGATCAACTGCCTGCTCACTGTTTAGTAGACATGCCCCTAGTCACAGCATAGTGGGAAGGGGCAGAAGAGAGTTTTATAACCTACCTTATTTATTAATACTTAGTATTTTTTACTTCGTGATAGTAAAGTTGGCTGAAAAGCCAATTTCAGCTTTTTTTTTTTTTTTTAATTTCTTTATTTTTGAGTCGACACTGAATGCGGCATAGCAAAATACAGCGGCTCACGCAGGGGCCGATTACAAGGCAGTTTTACTTAGCATACAACAATGGTTAAAATGTTTTATAGGTTAGGAGACATTGTTTTTTTGCCGCTCTGTGTCGGTTTCAATATTGGGAGGCAGTTCTTGCCCGATCATAAACGCTGTTCACTGGGGCGTGCGGCGGATCCAGGCCCTTCCAGGGCCTCTGTCTTTGTCCTGCTTATGTGAATTTAATCGTCGAGATAGTCTTCCCAAGGTTGCCATATTTTATGAAATGTTTTCTCCGTGTTCCTAATTTGGGCTGTGAGTTTGTCCATCAAATGTGTATCTTTCACTTTAACAATCACATCATTGTCTGTGGGTAACGTGGGCTTAAGCCACGCCTGGGCTAGAGCCCTTCTGGCCGCTAGTGTGATTTTATTATAGAGCTGTTGTTCTTTTCTGGGGAGGCCGTCTATGGGCTTGGACAATAGGACCGACCATGGGTCTAGATCTATACGTTTCTTCAGCACGTCAGTTAGTAGTGTCTGTATGCGCTTCCAGTATTTTTTTAGTTCCGGGCATTCCCACCACATGTGCACAAAGGTGCCTTTACCTCCGCAGCCCTTCCAACATGTGTCTGTCGTGGTTTTCCCCATTCTGTGTAGCTGCACAGGTGTGGTGTACCATCTCATAAGCATTTTATGACTGTTCTTGGTGCAGTACACAGATTGATGTTTTAGCTGTTGCCTCCCAAATGTCCACCCAGTCCTCTCCTTCCAATGTCACCCCCAGGTCCGTCTCCCATTGGCCAATGTAACGTGGGTCTTTAGCGTCTTTAGCTGGGGCGCTGAGTTGTGCGTATATAGTGGTTATTAAGCCCTTTTGTACGGTTTCGGCGTTACATAATTGTTCATAGAACGTCATTGGGGTGTGGGCTGCTTTTTTGACCTCCGGGGTTTTGGCGAAGTCTCGTAGTTGGATATGGCGAAATACATCTTTTGTGGTCAGGGGCGCTAAGGTTTTCAAGCTATCGAACGTTCTGAAGGAGTCCCCCTCATACATATGGCCATACCTCTGCATCCCCGTACTCTCTAAGCCCCTAAAGTCTCATGCGCTCAGCCCGGGTTCAAACGCTTTATTCCTCAAATATGGGGTTAGTGGTGAGGAGGGTGTGTGTTTGAGTGCATATTTGGTGGCTGTATTGTCCCATATTCGTATGGAGTTTAGGATTGCCGGGCAGGTGGTCCGTAGGGCAGGTCTGTCCTGTCTGGGCACCCATATCCAGAATTGTGGGAGATCCGTGCTCATTAATTTCGTTTCCAGGTCGACCCATCGGTGTGAGCCTTCTGGTGCGTGCCAAGCTATTATTTGGGCTAGTTGAGCCACCAAATAGTATTGGTACAGATTTGGGAGTCCTAGTCCTCCCTTTGACTTCGGTCGGTACAGCACTTGCCTAGCTACTCTGTGTCGTTTCTGTGCCCATATAAAGTTATCTATGCGTCTTTGTAGCGTCGTTAGGTCATGTTTAGTGACTTTGATCGGCAGGGCTTGGAATAGGAACAGCAGGCGAGGTAGCAACGTCATTTTTATCGCGTGTAATCTCCCTATCCATGAGATTGGTTTTTCTTGCCATTTTTCTATATCCCGGCATAATGTTTGCAATGTGGGTGTGTAATTCGCGTCATACAGTCTCTCTGGTTCTGCGGTTAGTTTAATCCCTAAATATTTAATGTAAGTTCTTGTAAAGTTGAGGGAATGATTGGCTTTTATGGCATTGATCTCCGCCGTATCCATTTCCAATGGCATGGCCACTGATTTTTCTAAATTAATTTTATAGTCTGATACCCGTCCGTAATCCTCGAGGAGGTCGAGAAGGTGTGGCAGGGAACCCCGGGGGTTGGCAAGTGTGACCATGATGTCGTCTGCATACGCAGAGACTTTGTATTCCTCCCCTCCCGCCCTAATGCCCGTTATGTTCCTATCCTCCCTAATCCTCAGTAGAAGAGGCTCTAGTGCTAGGACAAACAGCAGGGGGGAGAGGGGGCAGCCCTGTCTGGTGCCATTGGCAGTCTTGAATGGGGTCGGAGCTGTCCCTGGTACTGCCGTTTGCGCCTGTGGTTCTCTGTACAGGGCTTTTATGCCCTTTATGAATGTTTCCGGCATACGCAGGTGCCCCAATAGTGAGAAGAGGTAGTGCCACTGGACCCTGTCGAACGCCTTCTCCGCGTCCAGGGATAGGATCAGAGAAGGCGTCCGGGTCCTCACCGCCCACCATATGACATCCGCCCCTCTCCTGGTGTTTTCGTGCAGTTGCCGAGATGGTACGAAGCCGACTTGGTCCGGGTGGACCAATGTACCCAGGAGGGGATTGAGGCGCGTCGCTAAGATTTTTGCAAACACCTTTACATCGAAATTAATCAGCGAGATAGGCCTGTAGTTCCCGGCCTCCGTAGGGTCTTTACCTGGTTTGGGGATGAGTGTGATGTCTGCTGTAAGTGTTAATTTCAGCTTTTTTGTAGATAGCTTCCTAATACTTGTGGGTATTCAGTCAATTTGCCGGCGCCCTAGTCTAAATGATAGGACAGTCGTAACTGGCGGAGTAGGGTGAGTATTGTGGGGAAATTTTCTCTGACACAGGAAATGGAGCTGACTTAAGCTCCTCCTTGTTTAAGAGAATGTCAGGCGTAGAACAAAATACACAAGACAAAGTAGTCCCTACTTTATTTCTGATCTAGTTTTCTTTAAAATATAAGATAAAGAAAAGAAGAACAGGTTCTGAAAGAGGAAGCATTTGGGGAAAGGCAAGTTCAGCATGACAGTGCCACTTTAAGTCCACTGGAGCAACTGTCAAAGGGAGTCCATACACAGTTAGGACTCTGGGTAACCCTAACAAACCATATGTCATTGTTTTTTTTTTTTTTTTTTAAACATTGTTTATCAAATAATGATGGCCACTTGTTTTCTTTTAGTTCAGTTTGTTTTATATCCTGTGTTAGGTACAATGTCGTTTTCAAATACCTGGTGAGTGTACGCAGAGTTCAGTCTGAGCTCCAGCACTGCTGGGCTCTTCAGATGCAGAGAAAACATTTGGAATCAAATCGAACAGATGCTATAAAATGTCGGCTACGGAACCACATGGCATTTTTAGTGGACAATCTCCAGTATTACTTACAGGTAAGAAATGTTACCTGTCTGTGAAATAATGGTCTGATGTAAACCTGCTGTTATGAGAATGTATGTTCTTTTATATTCCAATAACAAAACAAATTTACAAATAAAATCTGTGCAGACTCTGATAAAACCACTCCTTCAGACAAAGAATTTCACATCATTATTGTTCTTACTGTTAAAATTACTCTTTCATTTTCCTTAGGCTAAATCTCCTTTCTTCCAGTCTAAATGTGTGACTGTTTGTCATATGTGTAGTCCTGTTTAGGAATAGATTTCCAGACAATGGCTTGTATTATCGCAGAATAGCGCTGTATAATGCTACCATATGCCCTCTTAGGTGCCGTTTTTCTTCATAACTAAAATGTTCCAATCCTTTTATTATTTTTGTAGCCCGCCTCTGCCTTTTTTCTAGTGTCATAATATCCTTCTTAAGAACAGATGCCCAAAAATTTAATATTGAAGTTGTGGTCTTATCCTTGATTTATAAAGAGGCAAAATTATATTTCCATCCCAAGATGTAATGCCCCGTTTTATGTATTACAATACCTTACTGATCTTATGGCTGATTGACATTGCACGTTGTTGCCTAGAGGTCTATAATTTCCAGGCAAAGATTTTGAATCATTTTTGAATATAGGAACCACATCTGCCTTCCTCCAATCCTCCGGTACAATTCCTGAAAGATTAAAAACAGAGGTTCATTTATTTCCACTCTAAGCTCCTTAAGTACTCATGGGTGAATATCATGAGGCCATTGGGCTTTGTTTACTTTGACTTTCTTTAGTTGTTAATTTTCCGTCTCTTGTATAACAGGCCAAAAATATAGCATGCTGACATAAACTGTAATTCCACTAGATGTCTGCATCGCAAAACATTACCAGTGGGGATCTAAGACCATTTTTCAGTAACAGAATGCATGCACGTTTTTTTTTTTTTTTTCACATAATATTGAGTCTCTTTATAAATAAGAGGTAAAATAAGGATTGCAGAAACTGAAAGGGAAAAAAAATTTGATTATCAAGAAACTGTAAGTTGTAGAGATGCATATTAATGAAAGTAGGTTAAGAGACGTTCATCTCGATTTTTGTTTTTCTTTCACTCTAAATAGAAGCATTTATAATTCCTTTAAGTGGCTTACAGTGTGATTTTGTTATTATATTTGCTTATTGTATTCATATATACAGGACAGTCATGATCTAATGGTATTTGCCTAACTATTTCATATGGAAGTTAACTGAATTGTACAATCTTAAATTATTAAATCAATACAAATTTGACGTGACCGTCAGGATTAGTGAGCTATGCAGTAACTATGCCAGGACAACAAAGGAACCTTAACCCCTTAAGGACACAACTTCTGGAACAAAAGGGAATCGTGACTGAATATTTTCGGCATGTATCCTTAAGGGGTTAACATTTTAAAATGTTTTTGTTCATTTTTTGCTAAAAAGTAGGTTGTGTTTTAAAGACCTCTTTACTAAAAAAGTGACAGGTACTTTTTAAAGGTAGGTGTACTGCTTTGGTGCTTTGACCTGGACCTACTGGTGTATTGTCAATCTTTGTGTGTTATAGCAGACATCATGTAAGCTTGCATTAACTTACAGTGTTATATGATCTTGTTAGGTGGATGTCTTGGAATCACAATTCTCTCAGTTGTTGCAGCAGATAAATTCTACACGTGATTTTGAGAGCATTCGTCTGGCCCATGATCATTTCCTCAGCAATCTTCTAGCCCAGTCATTCATTTTACTCAAACCTGTAAGTGGAATCCGTGAGCTTTTAAACAAGAATGTCATGACCTTGGACACACATCTGAACCACCTATCTCTCCTGCAGGTCTTCCACTGTCTCAATGAAATCCTAGATTTATGTCACAGCTTCTGCTCGTTGGTGAGCCAAAATCTTGGTCCGTTAGATGAACGTGGAGCTGGCCAGTTAGATATACTTGTAAAAGTAAGTGCATTCTCCCTGTGATTTGCTGTTATTCAGAGTGCTGGTTTTGGAGAAATTTGAACTATGCTCTCTTTTAGGGATTTAGTTGCCAGTCCTCTCTGCTGTTCAGGATTCTTTCCAGTGTCCGAAACCATCAGATCAATCCTGATCTGGCGCAGCTGCTTCTTCGATTAGACTACAATAAATACTATACCCAAGCTGGAGGAACATTGGGAAGGTAGGAGTGTTGTTTGTAACATACCACACATTATGTTTAGGTAGTAAACAAACTGGAGTTTGGAGCCCCTAATGAGATATGTGGGTAGTATTGTGGCAAAAATTAATGTGGCAAAATTGACCTGAAAGAGGCCCCACCTTCGAAAAGTAAAATATAATAATAAGTGGCGGAAAGGATAGGCTAAAATTACTTCTGTCTTTGTGTTGTAAGGGTTTTGGAGTAAGACAGGTATTTGGACTTGAGCCCCCTCCCATTTCATATGCTAATTTTAACTGTTATATGTATTATGCAAGTGTCATTATTTTAGATAGCAAAAGAATTAATTTCACCTTAGTCGGGCATTTAAAGTCATGAGAAAAAGAAAGTACAGTCTCTTTGAATTCTATGGTTTTACATATTAGGACATAGCAACAATCATCTGTTCCTTAGCAGGTCTTAAAATTATGTAAATACAACCTCAGATGTTGGGTACCTGTTACTATAGGAATAAAAGTTCCATAAATATTCTGCTGGCCAAGGCATTTTTGTTTAGTTTTGTAAAATTGGTGGGCCTTCGTAATCAGCTTTTATGCATTAACATGTTTTGAAACTATAGTGAGGGACCTGCATCAAAATGTGGCAGCTGTTAGTTTTATATGCCCTTTGAGATTGCTACCTACCTGTTATAAATAATACGGTGTGTTTTTAGTTGTAGTATTATGTAGTTAATTGATACTTTCATAAACATGGTCCTGCTAAATGTCTTTTTAGAATTAGCACAAATTAAACAGCCTGCAGTGTGATTGTGATGTATAATTTACATATGATTGGCATGCTAAAATGGTCAATGTTTCTTCCTTTAATAAGCATATTCAGTCTGGTGCAGTTGTAATCTCAGCTGTTTAGCGGTTGCGGCCTTCAAATTTTAATATGCATGAGTAAGGCCGTGCATGGCTCAGAACTCATTTGTTGTTAGAATGCTCCAATTTTAATGTGTACATTGTGGCTCTGTCACCTTCACTGATTTTGGTGCAATAACTACCATAAAACTGAAGAATGATCCTTGTGCATATAGTTTTCCTGGCTAATCATGGCAGCATCACTTATGGGTAGCTCCGCCCTAATCAGGAACAGGACAGGATAAAATCAATTAATATGGACCAGACTGGGTATAAAAGGTCCCTCCTCCTTCTATCCCACAGTCTTTTTTCCTGTCCTTTCAGGACACACAGGATATTTTATTTTGGGCCACCTTCCCATGTGTACCATGGGCCTCCAGATGAAGTTCAGCCTCTCTTCATCTGAAGAACTCAGTAAACAGCCTGCACGGGCAGGACTAACTGAGTTTAGTACAGATTAGCATCTGTACTATTATGAAAAAAAAAAAAAAAAAGTTCAATCCATTTTGATGTGGGGTCGGCTGTTGCCTTAAAAATTCCCCTTATGGCATCTAAACCCCCCCCTGATCTGAGGTCAGTACTGGGGAGAAGCTAGGGTAAGTCTTTGTGTTGTAGTTTTCTCTTCTTTTGGTTTATGAGATTGCTGGGGGTTAGACTCTCAGCTTCCTACTGTTAGGTGAGCCGCATATATTCTATTTGATTAAGGGGGGAAAAGAGTGCCATTACAGGCCTATAATATAAAGTATATTGGCCTTTTATTTCAGCCCAGAAAAATCTCAAGAGAATTCTCCCAGAAAATATAGAGAAAAATCCAACAGATGTGCAAACTGCAACCAAGTGGCTCCTCCGGGAAATAATTTGTGCAGATCTTGCCTGACGGAAGCAGCGAAGGACTGAGATGAGAAAAGTTCCCCACAAGCGGACTTAAAGAAATGGATTTCAGAAGCTATAGCTGAAGGGTTTAAATCCTCTAGTAAGATGGCTATCCCCAAGCGTCCCAGAGTGGAAAGCTTTGTAGAATCAGAAGAGGAATCTGATATGATGGAAGACTATTCAGAGGAAGAAGAGGATGAGTGTGACTCAAAATCTCTGGATTCCAGGTCTGTGGATAAGTTGGTTTATCTTATCAGAGACACGTTAAGAATTCCTGAAGAAAGCAGGGAGAAGAAGGAGTCTGACAGATACTTTGAAGATCTGAAGCCTAACAGACCCACCTTTCCAGTTCATTCGGCCATCAAGGAGGTAATAGGTGCAGAATGGAATAGACCTGAAAGGAAGGTGACTTTAAAGAGCAAAGTCCCCAGATTATACCCGTATGCACCTGAGGACTGCAAATCATGGATTTCGGTTCCGAAAATTGATGCAGCAGTCATTCACATGGCGAAAAGAACAACTCTTCCCATAGATTCAATGGCATATTTAAGAGAGCCAATGGAAAAGCGATTGGACGCTGACCTGATTAAGGCATACCTAGCCCTGGGATCGGCATTACATCCAGCCATCGCTCTTACCACCTTGTCCAGAGCTCTAAAAATATGGGTTGATAATCTAGAAGAGGATATTGCTAGTGGAGTCCGTAGAGAACACCTGATGGAGGGCCTTAAAGATTTAAAACTGGCCACATAATTCTGTTCTGAAGCTTCCCTGGATGTTACTAAAATGGTAGCTAAAAGTATGGCGCTGTCAGTTGCTTCTAGGAGAGCATTATGGCTTCACTCTTGGGGTGCAGATTACGCCTCTAAGGCCTCTCTATGTGCGCTTCCTTTTCAAGGGGACCTTCTGTTTGGTAAAGTCCTGGAAGAAGCGATCCATAAAGCAGCAGATGGGAGAAAAGCTTTTCTCCCCCAAGGGAAGAGAAGATTTAGTGCTTCCTACTGGAAGGATAAGAAGTTCAGAGACCGATCCTTTCGAGATGTCAGGACATATAGACCCGGAAGAGAATACTCCAGGAATTCTAATTGGAGAAACTATCAGTCCTCTTCATCAAAACCGGTTAGAGGAAGAGGATCTAGACCAGCTAATAAGAACTTCTGAACGTTTGCTGGCCCAGCCAGATGTTATAGGAGGCAGACTTCGCTTCTTTTATCCGGTTTGGGCCAAAAGTATTCAAGATTCTTGGGTTCTTTCTATCCTCAGGGAAGGATACAAAATAGAATTCAAAGAATTCCCTTCTCAAACCTCCTTTATCCGTTCAAGAGTAGCAAGAGGAAGAAAAGAAGTTGCTCTGAACAACATTATTTCTCAACTCCTACGAAATCAGGTCATAGAGAAAGTCCCTTACAGAGAACATTACAGAGGCCACTACTCTACGATATTTTTGGCCCCAAAACCTCACGGGAAATGGCGTCTAATTCTGGACCTAAAAGTTCTGAATACATATCTGGTTCCAAGAACATTCAAAATGGAGTCCATTTCCACAATTCTGCCCAATATAAAGACAGGGACCTGGATGACTTCTATCGATCTCAAAGATGCCTACTATCAGATACCTATTCACGTCAGTCATCGCCGGTTTCTGAGGTTTTGGATCTCGGGGAATCACTATCAGTTCAAGGGACTTCCTTTCGGCTTAAGTCTGGCGCCCAGAACATTCACGAAAATTCTAGTTTCGCTGGTGGCCTTTATAAGGACGAAGAACATCGAGCTTTTTCATTATCTGGACGATTTTCTGATCGTAGGTCCTTCCAGTCAGAGAGTAAATGTCCACACGTCAATAACCATCAAATGCCTTCAAGATCATGGTTGGCTGATAAACCCCAAAAAGAGTTCTTTAGTGCCTTCTCAGAGGATAATTTTCCTAGGAGCAAATATAGACTCGGTGAAGGGCCTGGTATCACTGTCTTCAGACAGAAAAGAACGGATAGTGAAGAAGATCAGAAGGCTGCGTCAAAAATCCTACATCACAGCAAGAGATTTCATGAGCCTGTTTGGGTCTCTTACTTCCACGATAGGCCTAGTGAAATGGGCCCAGTGGAGGATGCGACCCATTCAGAGGCATTTTCTCTTACAGTTCAAAGCAAAACCTGGAAATTGGGATCAGAAGATTCGTTTTCTCCCGAGAATTTCAAAAGAGCTGTATTGGTGGACAAAAGAAAAAAACCTCCTTTGTGGTTTTCCTCTGGAAGAGCCGGTTTGGATAACTGTAACTACAGATGCCAGCCTCCTGGGATGGGGAGCACACCTGAACAATTTTTGGATTCAAGGAACTTGGTCATGGAAGGAGTCAAAACTTCATTCGAATTTGAGAGAAATGAGAGCGGTTCTCAAGGCATTAATAGGGTTCCGTCCTCTATTGAGGGATGCCTGGGTGAAGATACATACAGACAACAGAGCAGTGGCTTCCTACATAAATCATCAGGGAGGCACTCGAAGTTATTCTCTACTAATGGAATTGTCCCCAATAATGAGGTTTGCGCAACGACATTTACAAGGATTAAAAGCGGTTTATCTTCCGGGACCAGAGAATTTATTGGCGGATTATCTCAGCAGAACAAGGATTCTCCAAGGAGAATGGAAACTGCACCCAGAATTATTTCACTTCATCACCCTGCGGTGGGGAGTACCCCAGATCGACCTGATGGCTTCGTACAACAACACTCAGGTGAAGAGGTTTTACTCCCTACATGCGGATCATCGAGCAGAAGGACAGGATGCCCTGTCTCTTCCATGGGAATTCGATCTGGGGTACGCATTCCCTCCCCTACCAATGATTTATCGACTGCTGAGAAAAATATGGAAGGAAGGTCTCAAAGTCATCGCCATCATCCCAATCTGGCCTCGCAGACCTTGGTTTCCCCTGCTGAACAAGATGAGCCTAGAACCTCCTTGGCCTCTTCCTCTCAGACCAAACATCTTAATCCAGGGACCAGCTGTTCATCCCAACCCCAGCCAGCTGAAATTGGGGGCATGGCTCTTGAAAAGGAGAGACTACTAGCTCAAGGGATCCCAGAAGCTGTGGTAACTACTCTCCTTAAATCCAGAAAAGTATCTACTTCTTCCTGCTATCATAAGATTTGGGAAGTTTTTCGTTCCTGATCTCAAGACAATAATGTGGATTTTCTTCAGCCATCTAACATCAACATTCTACATTTTCTTCATACTGGTCTGGAGAAAGGGCTGAGTCTTAGTACCCTAAAAGTCCAATCATCGGCTTTATCTGCTCTCTGCAACAAGTCTTGGGCTTCGGATCCTCTAATTGCTAGATTCTTTAAAGCAACCATCCGTATAAGACCTCCAAATAGGAACTACACTCCTCCGTGGAATTTACCTATGGTTCTAGAGGTATTGTCTGAAAACCCCTTTGCTCCATTAGATGAGCTGGGTATCGTCTTATTAACATATAAGACCTTATTTCTGGTGGCTGTTACTACTGCAAAACGCATGTCGGAAATTCATGCATTTTCCTGTGATGAAAATCACTTTCAGGTATTCCACGACAGGGTGATCTTGAGACCCAGACAAGAGTTTCTGCCGAAAGATGTCTCGAATTTCCACATCCTACAGGAAATTGTTATTCCTTCCTTTTATCCATCTCCTTCTACTCCAGAGGAAGTGAAACTTCATCAATTGGATGTCAGGCAGTGCCTGCTTAAGTATATAGAGGTTTCTACTCAATTTCGGAAGTCTCAACAGCTGTTTGTTCTTCCGATTGGTCCCAGAAGAGGGGAGGCAGCCTCTACTTCCACCTTGAGACGTTGGATCTCCAATACCATAATCAAGGCTTATCAGTTGAAAGACCTTGTTCCTCCTAGTAGGATCAAGTCACACTCTACAAGGGCTTTAGCAACATCATGGGCTAATTGGGCAGAAGTTCCATCTGACGACATCTGTAAGGCAGCTACATGGTCTTCTCCTCTCACTTTCATCAAACACTACAAACTGGATTTGGCATCTTCCTCTACGGCTTTTGGTAGAGGTGTTCTGTCCTCTGTGGAATCTATCTAAATTAAACTTTTTTCAGCATTATCTGGTTTGGAGTTTTTTTTGAAATTCCCACCCTATGGTGAAGCTTGGGTATTACCCATAAGTGATGCTGCCATGATTAGCCAGGAATACAGAAAATTTTATCATGCTTACCGTAATTTTCTTTTCCTGGCTATTATTCATGGCAGCATCAGCAACCCCCCCTTGTTATCAGATTTAGCTTTGGAACTAGACTGTGGGATAGAAGGAGGAGGGACCTTTTATACCCAGTCTGGTCCGTATTAATTGATTTTATCCTGTCCTGTTCCTGATTAGGGCGGAGCTACCCATAAGTGATGCTGCCATGAATAATAGCCAGGAAAAGAAAATTACGGTAAGCATGATAAAATTTTCTGTAATCTTCTTTACAGTAAGATTTATTAACATTGCTACAGTCTATGAAATAAATATTGGAGGACATCAGTCAGTCCCGATAGCTTTGATCTTCCCCTTTCTTCCTCACCGTACATTATTACCCAGTAAAGTTCTTTTACTGACTCCTATGGAAACATCTAAACATGTTGAATTTTATTGCATGATTTGCTCATGTTTGTTAGAGCTATTAAGGCCATGATTTGTACCAATGCACTACATGTGATTCCACATGGGCAGTTGACTCCTAACATGTTCCCTAAATTTCATATTACATAATATTTTTTTGGATTATGGGTTAGTAATTAAATGACACTCCGGGCAGCAACACAACTTTTGATGCTACTCTCCTCATTTAGCAAAGTCTAAGAAAGATTGCCTCACTTTCCATGAGTGATCTACTGTATGTTGCTTTGTAGTTTAGGACAGGACACCCAGATAAACCTGTAGTAAGGATATCACTACCTGTTTGTAGTTTCTCTGATTGCCAGGTTGTGAATTAAAAACTGCTCTCAATGCTGTTGCCTCAGACTGTTTGCTATCAAATGATAAGGAAATCTTTCTGGTAGGAAGAAGCATGGCTAAGGAGGCAGGCTTATGGTGGAGAATTTGCAAAACATTTTTAAACAGTTGACCATACAAAAAATATACAGCATATGAGCCCAAAACCTATCAAATTTATTAAAGTTGTATTGGTGCCAGAGTGACCCTTTAAAAATCTTCTTTCTAGGGATCATAAATATAAATTGCTTTTTACTGTTTGTCCCTCCCTATTTGAGGGGGTTAGGCACTACAGAACGCTCCAAAATCAAATAGGTAACAATGAACGCTCACCATTTTGTCTTCAGGTTACCATCCGATTTTTCAAGTTCTCATCAGCTGAACTTTGCTTTAGTATCTAAAACTCTTCTGGTATGGTCAATCTAGAGATTAAATCTGCCACATATTGTGGAGCCTACATTTTGACTTATTACTATAACCCTGATCTGCAGTGGTTTTCTTGGCAGGATCTGTTTCTTTAGCTTATTCTCTCCAGGTAGGTCAATTTTTCCATGTTTATTATGCTCTGGAGCATACCACATATTCCTAATGAAAATTGTAGGAATATGTCCCTATGCTACAGCTTACTCCAGGAATGGTAATAACTGATTAATGCACAACCTGCAAATTGTGCAAGCTTTCACATACTATTTTAAAACAAATATTTGATGCATCTTTTTATGCACTACATAGCATTTTATAAAATGAGTGACTAATTGCTGGGGTGTTCTTTTGCCAAGATAAAATAAAGCAATTGTAGATAAAAGTTGTATTTCCTTTGGCAGTAAGCTTCTAGGATGGTTAATTCCATTCCATTAGACCAGTGGTGGGCAGAAAGTAGTTTCCATTAATAGCAGTAGAATGGTATTTTTCTCTATGCGGTCACCATGTCAGGAAAACACAAAACATGCTTACAAGATGCATTTTATGTATAACATTGTAAGTACATTTCTGTTTGGGTGCCTCAACTGCCCAGTTTCTCTTTCTAGATGTCACATCACTCCTGTCTCTTATACAGTTCTGCCCTTCCCATGGGCTTCTGTATCCCACTATGGGCTATTGCAATACAGAAATACACTACTAATGTACGCATACATTTTCAGTTGGGGAAAGAGGAGTTTAGTCTTCAAATAAAATGTCTGGACTATTTTCAGTTTTTCTGACCAAGAATATTTTCTTTCAGCTTTGGTTTATGAATAGAAAGTCTTAGCATGTCACCAAGGAAGAGCTGTGTGAAAACGACGGACATCTGACCAAGAGGAAAAAAAATAAATAAATGTCGAACGAGAGGCTTGTCTCCATCTATGAATCCTTGAAGGAGGTACAGATATCTGAAGAAACCTCAAGTGTTACCAAATTAGAGTCTATTTTATTGCAACAAAGATGGGACAAAAACTGAAAATTTGACTTTTACAATACATAGCAGCTGTATAGTAAACATTAACTGTGTTGGGTTAATTAGTCTTTATCTGAGAGTAACACATAAAAAGGTATAACTTAACGTTGCCAGTATGTTTGACAGAACATTTCTCATAGTTACCTAGTTTAAAGGAACACTTCTAGCACCATAACCATTAGAGTGCCTTGTAGTGGTATGGTGCCAGGAGAGCCTTGGTGTCCACCCATTGTAAGTAGTAGTCAAACTGTTTTAAGACTTCTTACCTAGAGTCCTCAGGGTTCTGCTCCCAGCCTCCACTATTTCCAACACAGAGCTGGGAGGACTCTACTTGTTGGAACTAAAGGAAGCTCCTGCTTTGGTGTTTCTGGCTTTCCATAAAAAAATAAATATAAAATAAATAAAAAAAAAGCAGATCCCAGGTAAGTGAAACTGTTCTAAAATGGCTTGACTTCTTACAATAAAAGGGGTGGCAGGGTACTCCTGGCATCATAATCACTAGTGCACTTTGGTGATTATGGTGCGTTGAGCTTTCCTTTAATTACAAGAAAAGATGGTAAGAGGTTTTTCCCCCAATTTTATTCCATCATGTTTAAACAAATGAAAAACATTTTAATGGTTTAAGAAAACAGTTCCAAGTATGTCTTGTTTGCCAAGTCTTCCAATCTCAGCACCAACAAATAAAGTTTCTTATGAACCTTGTCATAACACTGTTCTCCACACTGATTTACACGCTGTATCATTTACTCATGGAACAAGGTTTCTCAGTGTTGATCAGAGTGTGCCTGTGGCCATAGAGGTTGCCAGCTAGGAACCATTAGTCTGCTTTAATATAAGATGTGGTCACTCTAGAAGCATATATAGCCATTATGTTTTGATTCATCAAATTCTTTGAAAATCTTGTACGCAACATAAGTATTTTGAATGGAAACTGGTGTAATGAATGATTTGGTCACATGAGAATGTATGCATCTTTGTAAATTACCCTACTACCCTTTGCATTGACGTCACCAACATGAATACTGAAAAACCGAATGCAACATACAAATGGAAAGGGAGATGGACAAGATATCCTTAAAACAAGGAGATTCAATTTATTTTTCTCATAAAAGTCCAGCCGATAAAAGTATGTACAGTGAGAACATGCACATGTTGAGTAAACACAAAACATTTAAAACTACCTAAAACTTCATTAAAACACAGTATGCACAATGCAAGGAGCAGCAAAGGGGAGGAAAGATAAAAAGGGAGGGGATATCCAATGGCGACCCCTTAGCTTGGAACGTAGTCATGGTTATATTTCTGATGTGTGTGATAACCAAGCTTCTCCCCATTTATCAGACATTGGATAACCCACTCTTGAGAAACCAGTGGAAGATTCAAGGCCTGGGCGCATTTTAAAATGGATTCTGGACATGAACGATCTGTGACCACCACATCAAAAACTCCCAGTGCAACATCTGAAAAAAAAAAAGAAAAAAAAAAAAAAAATTAAATTACAATCCCAAAAGTGCATTCAGAAATCATTAGCATTTAACTTGAGTTAGCTGCTACAATGGCACTTTTGAACCATTTTTGTCTTTTACAAATCAGATTTTTCTCATTTCTATATGGGTTTGGGGAAAATTTTATATATCAAATGACAACTTAAATGGCCACTCCACTGCCCAAATACAAACTGTGGTTAGTAGATATACCTCTAACGAAGACATGCATTATTTAATAATGCAGTTTTTTATTTGGGGTATATCTAAAACAGCTTGCAAAAGTAGGAGATCATTTCTAACACAGCGCAGATTTTCCATGGCTAATCAATCTGCCAAAAGTAAAATCTGCACTTTTTGGAAAATGGAAAAAAAAACTAGAAAACCCTTTTCACATAAAGCATTTCGGCATGCTAAAGTGTCCCTTTAAATAAGCAAAGCATCAGTATGCAAGTGTTAGAAAACATTAAAATAAGGGTTATTGGACCAGGCATTAAAACCTTGTTAAACTTGAAAGAGCACGATAATACACAAATGTGTATTCCTGATCCTACAGTGTTAAAACTATCTGGCACATCCTGAAGTAAATCGAAAACTTATCTTTATTCCAGTGCTGCTCTGGTCCACTGGCTCTGCTCACCAGGCAGACATCTCCCATAGGAAAGTATTGGATTGTCTGAGATTGTCAGTTCTGATTGGCTCTGCCCTTTGCCCTGCCTACTTTGAGCTAAACACCCCGCTGGCCAATCAACATCTCAGAGATACATTGATTCAGTGCATCCCTATCGGGAAAGTTGAGCGCCTCCATGCAACACATGGAGACTCTGTGCAGAACTGACCCAAGAAGTACCTCTAGTGGCCGTCTGAGTGGCTGCCACTAGAGATGTCCCTAGAGAGCAATGTAAACACTGCCTTTTCTCTGCAAAGGCAGTGTTTATAATCAATCCCTGCAGGCCTTTTGCTGTATTCGCCAGAACAACTACATTAAGCTGTAGTTGTTCTGGTGACTATAGTGTCCCTTTAAAGTGATCACATTATGTGTAAAAGAAGCAAATGTTCATTAGAATCTGTGGGGGTTACTGCCCAAGTCATGTAACAGAACAGGTCTCCATAAATAAGCTGGTACCCTGCAGCTCTCACAGATAACACTACATTTACAACGAATGTCTCACAAACCATTAAAGGGATACCATAGGCGCCAAAACAACTTTAGCTTAACCTCTTAACCCCTTAAAGGACCACTATAGTACCAGGAAAACACTCGTTTTCCTGGCACTATAGTGCCCTGAGGGTGCCCCCACCCTCAGGGTCCCCCTCCCGCCCGGCTCTGGAAGGGGGAAAGGGGTAATAACTTACCTTTTTCCAGCGCTGGGCGGAGAGCTCTCCTCCTCCTATCCGCCTTCGATCCGCCCCGCCGGCTGAATGCGCACGCGCGGCAAGAGCTGCGCGTGCATTCAGCCCGTCGCATAGGAAAGCATTTACAATGCTTTCCTATGGACGCTTGCGTGCTCTCACTGTGAAAAATCACAGTGAGAAGCACGCAAGCGCCTCTAGTGGCTGTCAATGAGACAGCCACTAGAGGATTAGGGGGAAGGCTTAACCCATTCATAATTATAGCAGTTTCTCTGAAACTGCTATAATTATGAAAAAATGAGTTAACCCTAGAAGGACCTGGCACCCAGACCACTTCATTAAGCTGAAGTGGTCTGGGTGCCTAGAGTGGTCCTTTAAGGACACAACTTCTGGAATAAAAAGGAATAATGACGGAATATTTCCGTCATGTGTCCTTAAGGACACATGATTGAACTTTTCTGTAATGCATGCCTTTTACTTCTGATGCTGTGTCCTTAAGTGGTTAATGAGGCAGATTTGGTATATAGATCATGCCCCTGCAGTCTCACTGCCCTGCAATTTGGGAGTTAAACCACTGGTTATGCAGCCTTAGTCACACCTCCCTGCATGTGACTAACACAGCCTTTCTAAACATTTCCTGTAAAGAGTCATCTAATGTTTACACTTCCTTTAAGTCTTTAATTGAGAATCTCATGCCCGAATAATAGCATTCTAGAACCTGCAGGAGCCTTCTGTGATTAAAATTCAATGTACAGAGCAGTAGATAAAAAGTTAGAAAGCAAGTTTACATCTAATTAAAAATAAATAAAAAATGTATGCAGGCTGTGTCATTCACAGCCAGGGGAGAAGTGAGGTAGGGACATGATCTATACAACAAAACTGCTTTATTAAAAGGGACACTCCAGACCCCTAAAGCACTTTAGCTTGCTGAAAAGCTTTGTGTGTGGAGAGTGCATCCCCTCTTTCATTTTGGAAAAAGTGCAGATTTCAATAGAAATTGACACTTCTAAATTGTACTGCTTACACCACCCCTGGCTTTTCAAGCAGACAACTGGTACTATTGCTTCCTGGTTTGTTTAGCTTAGTTGCACTGAATTCAATAGTCAGCAATTGCCCAGAGCAATTCTGTGATTGTACAGTCACAAAGTCTGGGTGATGTAGAAGAGGAGGGCTTGCAAAGGCACCAGACGAGATCTGCAGTTTTTAGAGATAAGCCCAATTGAAAAAATGCACAATGAAATGTATGCAAATTTCATTTGGGGTGTATCGACTTAAAAGCGATTTTGATTTTATATTTGGGCAGGAGAGTATTCTTTTTAAAGGACCACTATAGTCACCCAGACTACTTCAACTCAATAAAGTAGTCTGGATGCCAGGTCCCCCAGGTTTTAACCCTGCATTTGTAAACATAGCAGTTTCAGAGAAACTGCTATGTTTACATTGGAGGAATAATCCAGCCTCTAGTGGCTGTCTTTCTGACGGCCACTTCCCCGACGCTCAATGCGAAAAAACGCATTGAGCACGCAGAACGTCCATAGGAAAGCATTGAAAAATTCTTTCCTATGGGCATTTGTAATGCACGCATGGCTCTGACCGCACGTGTGCATTCGGCTCCACTTGGGAGCTGACGTTGGAGGGGGAGAAGAGGTCACCAACAAGTTTGCTTTCCTGACACTATAGTGATCCTTTAAGCTAACGTTGTTTTGATGCCAATAGTGTTCCTTTAACTGCTGTGGCACTTTTTCCAAAGTTTGATAGTAATTATTACAAGAAGTCTTTTTATTACAAGAAGGTTTATTGTTGCATTGGTTTTAAATATTTAAAAAAAAAAAAATGTAATTTACTTGGTGTAAAGCACTCATCCTGTTTGTAAGTCAGGGTCCAAGTCAAAGTACAAGAAACCCTGATTTATGCTGTTGAATGCAGTCGTGACAAAATTATGCATTAAAATAAAAAAAATAATAAAATTGCCCTTGATGTTGAATCAAATGTTATTTTTATTTTATATTTTGCTTTTATTATGTAAGCACAGACTCGTGTTTAATTGATGTTTAATAACATTTATGATCCACATTTTAGGAATCCACCTTCCCTGCATAAACATGAGATCATACAAATGCAATTTATATTTTAGTATGATAATAATCTCAACTAGAAAATGTAGGCAAAAATAACAGATTTGGAAAATCAGTCAGAGTTTTCAATTTACCACAATTTGATTTTTACTTTATATAAATTTCATATAGAGTACCTTTGTTAGTTTCTGAAGAATTGTGCTGTTTCACAGTTGTTGCTCCTCCAACCATCAATATTTCAGACCACATTTCCAGGAAATTCTCTTTCTGGTCAGATACCACAAGAAATCGCAAGTCTTGGAACGGATGACAAGACTCATGCCTGCAAATCATAAGACATTTAAACACCTTTATTACTTTTTTTTTTATTTTTCTGTGCCTGAAAAAACTGGGACATTTATTTGTGCAAGGGATGCATAACTAGTAGAACAGCAAATCACACAGATTACTATTGAGTAATATTATATATAATACTATACTATTGTATGGTATCCCTTCTGGCAGATTAACACTTTCACAACGTTTCATACCATCCTAAAATTTGTTGGCTTTAACATTGTTAGGAAGGCATAGAACATTCTGCGGTTTTGGTGTAAGCACCATTAAATCCTTGCTCACAGAGGGAAAACTCTTGTATCAGGCAATATTTTAAACAAGTTCCGGACAAAACAAGTGCCTTGCCACCTATAAATCTACACTGAGTCACTAAATAGTAATGACAATATCAGAAGCTTATCAAAAGAGGTTCAAGTAACACCTGGTTTGTAGGACATTCTACAAGATCCTCGTCTTCGTCTTGGGCAAGTGCAATTAACAGGGATATTCACTAGAACTCCTTTAAAATATTTCCCAGCGGGGGCAAGCAACTAGACATCATTTCCAATAGCTCCAGGCCTAATCTACTCAATACCGCCTAACAGCAGCTACATCGCCCATCCAAAGGGGTCAGCCTGCCTGGAGGAACACACCCATGCCCTTATTTTATGGTTTACATGCGAAAGCGACCTGCAAATCCCGACGGATCATAAGGCAATGCGAGTACGCACAGGCCATCGCGGATTGGGCCCTCTACTCATCACATTTCGAGACGAAAATGGCCATGGAGATGGGCCGCACAAAGACACAGGCAGTGGCACCCTGCAGTACGAGAGACGTGCAAGTTGCTCAAGGGCACACCGCAACCGGATTTTTTTTTTTAAAATGAGCAGGATGAAAGAGGCTTCCACAGACCTGTCGGACGATGAGGGCAGTCAGCCTCGCACTAGGCCTAGCAACCTTACCACATCAACCCTAGGCATGTCCACGGATCCAAAGTCCTCCGCGCCCTCCACCAAACAGGACATAGTCGACTTATATGACCGCATTAGAAAACTCTTCGATGCAGACATAGCCCTGGTGAAGGAAGAGGTCCAAGCGGTCACAGAGAGGGTGCGTGTTACCAAAGATGTGACAGACTTTAAACGAGGCCTCTTAGCCCTGGAGGAAACCATGCATACCACGCAGTCTGCACATTCTTATACCAAAATGAGAGTGGATGCCCTCGATGATAGAAGCCGTAGGGAGAACCTGAAAATAAGAGGAGTACCTGAATCAGTGGCCTCCGAAGAGCTCCCACACCTACTGAGGAGATGCTG